TACTGGACTTAGCAGGAACACACAAATTATGATTATTTTTACATGCCGTCAACCCATATGCTTTTTATTTATCGATTACATATGTATATTTGTGTTCCCCTGTAGGAATTACACTAAAAAGGTTTATGTCCCCCTCATGTTAAGATGAATTATCCGCCCCTGGTCGCCCTGTTTTCATTGGTTGGGACCGGATTGTTGTCTTTGTGTCCACTGTGTGTGCATGGATAGAGGTGGACGCCGGTGTTCAAATCGAGCGTACCCAGGATAGCGGGAACTCGGCGGGGTTTAGGACCCGGCGGGACGCGCGGTACAATAGAGCCGTTGTGCCGTGGTGGAGGAGGAGGACAGATCGCAGCTCTGGAGATTCCCACTGAGGGGGGGACACACGAAAACCATCCTTTAACCCGCAGCCGGGAGCAGAGCCCCTGTTTTCTGAGTGTGTGTGTGCGGCCGGACGTGGCGGGACTGAAGCGGACAGCGCCGCGTGTACTGGAGGTAAGACACGGAGGGATGTGAACAATATGCCCGTGTGTCCAGCGGGGCTCCCTGTGCCAGGATCTGCCCTGGATGGTTGATCCAGGCCACGGGGCCTCCTCCTCCTAATACTACTACTGTCTGCCTGCTTTCACTGGACCCCGCGTCAATGGGGACCTGTGTGATAGCTCACGTCTCTCTACCTAAACAATGAAGCAGCTCCACAAACCTTCGTCCTGCTGCCTCTAGGAAGTGACATCTTTGTATGGTGGTGGCGCCCATGTTTGATTTCTCCACAGCCTGCAGTGTAGCCCGCTCTGGGCCTGTGTGTGTTTGTTTGGCGCCAACCAGGCTCTTTGGGCAGGGCAGCCGCTCGGAGTTATTTCTTCTCAAGCCCCCTCTCTGCGTGTGGCTACAGCTAACAGTGTAGCCACAGCTAGCAGCTACGTGCTAGCACATTAAATACCATATAAATCACTCCGGAGACCACTGAAGGATCCCGTTAACAGCGCGTTCTGTACGTTGTGACGTCATTTCCGTGCACGTTACATCACAAGCCTGCAGCCAGTGTCCAGTTGTCTCAGACATGCAGTGAAGTCCACATCATGTCCTCACTCCCAGGCTCTTGAGTTTGTCCTCAGTGTGATGGTGTTTGACATTATTGCTTTAGAGCAGGAAGAGTTGAGTTAACGTGGATAAACAGACTCTGCCATGTTGAACTATCTCTACCGTCCTGGTCGTGTTTTGATTTTATGACAGATGTATAAGGTTTTAACAGTCAAGAGACACACCACAGTTTGATGACATCTTGTTGTCCTGGTTACAAATATTAATGGAACAACATGGCTGCAGGCGCCCCCAGATCAGCACAACGACAAAATGCAAGAAATAGAACTTTTCATACTCCTGCTGTCTCCACATACACACACACAAACACACACACAAGAAGCTTTCAGACATGAACTCCGGAGGACGTCCCCACAATTGGGTCTGCACATTCTCTGGTGGCTGCCTGTCTCATGTGAACAACACTGCAGGACATTCTTTCCCTCAGACACGTTCACAGCAACACAGAAACCTCTGCAGCATTTGGGTGAGGTGGGAGTGGGAGGTGATTTATTATTTCCGCTGCGGAGATTAAGTGTTTTGGTGTATAGCACATCGACACAGGCGTTGGGACTTATCACTTAAAGCTCTCTTGAAAAAATTGGACATTATCCAGAGTTTTTGTTAGGGGACTGTAAGGAGAAACTCCATAGCCTCTCACTTGGACATTTGCGTTCTCACATACAGACCTTCTGGAGAATGTCAGGAGATGATCCAGAGTTCAGTGGTTGTCTGAAAGCAGCTTGACAAATGGTGTCAGGTTAACCACTGTGGGTTGTTGTCTATCTTGAGAGTCGTTTCACATAATAACTCTGTGAAACGTCTTTAAGAATCACAAGCAAGTCCAGTTACAGCCTGAAGATTAAAAATGTCAAGTGACCAACAAATGTCTAAAAACATTATCCAGGGTTTAAGGCTGTAGAAAAAGTATTGGGCACAAATTGAAGAAAAAGAAATCTGAGATATAATAGAATATTGTAATATTACCAGTTCATTCGTAATTTAATGAAAAACAAAATCATAATATTACAATGTTTAATAGGAAATAGGCAGCAGGGAGAAGCCATCCTCCCCAGAGTTCCACTCTTTCTGGATCCAATATTTTTAACCAATTTAATCTTGTTTTTGGAGAAATTACAAAATCCCTTTAAATAATTAAATAGCTCATAGATCACAGTCAACCACTACCAAACATTTCCTCCTCCTACAAAACTGAAACAATTTCTGTCTGTGTGGTTCTTCTTCAGAATAGACACAGTTTCTTGCACAATTGCTTGCAAAGTCCTGATACTGATAATATACATAATTATTAGTTTTTTTGTGACTTAACAAGATGCTCTACGTTCCTCAGTTTAACACAGACGGCAGGCTTATCTTCTGATATCCCACCTCTAAAATGATACATGGTCTAAGATTTACAACTTTATTCTTGTAATACTATGACCGTTGTCTCCTATTTAAGTGGCCCTAATATTCTGTCTCCCATTGTGACGTCTTTAATTTGCCTGTTTTGTCTGAGCAACCATCCACAATCCAAACATATTCACTTGACAATTATATAATTCTACATGCTTAAAAAGCTCGAAGAAACCAATAATGTTCGATTTTACTTTTAAAAGTCACTTTAACATTTAATCAAATATCAAAAGGTTCTGAAAAAAATTCTCCTGAGAGCACTGTTTCTAATTCATCTAAATATTAGTTCTCAGGAGGTTTTCTCTAGTCTACTTCATCTCTGCATCTCATCTGGATTGGAGCCACAGAATAGATTTGCTGACAAATACATTCTTTTGATTGACAGGAAACTAATTAGCATCTATTTAAAATAATTGTCCATTTTCTGAGCCAAATGGTCTCCGGGCTCGATCACACAGAGCTCAGTGTATTCAGACCAGACATCTGTTAATGGCAGGTCCAAGGTCTTTTGTTGCTGCTACACAGTTTGCTGCAGTGTGTCTGTGCTGTATGACTTGTTCCTAAAAATAGCATAAAGTTGTCATCTATAAACATCTTGTACATTTACTTATACTATAATTTGGAGTGGGATTGGCTTTATTTCCTCTCCCCTCCCACCCCTCCTGTCCTCATGAGGAATGTGAGGCATGTCCTGTCTGTTGAAACAGTGTACTGTATTGGGGGCTACACCTCGGTGAAGTCCCTACATTTTTTTTAAACCTTCGTGGTTCGTACTGTAGACTTGTGATGATGAATAACAAAAAAATAGAAAGAAAACCAAGGATTCAAGCTGCTGAATTTTATTTGAATTAGTTGTGATACTGTTAGTGGGTTAGAATATTGGATATTTGATTGCAAGGTTTTGGGCCAATCACTAATATAACAATGTAAACAGAACAGATGCTCATTGTTTACATGCAAACATATGCTTGTGTGACTCTCTTATATTTCTTCTTTGCAGGATTGAAGTTAAGCAGTTAAGGGTTTATTTTCTATCAGAGGAATCCACTAGCATGCTTTTCAATTTGAAATTTATGGTGAGTAATTATCTTTTCTCCACCTCTATCAATTTGAAATAGTTAAGCTGCTTTCAGACATGCACTGAACTCAGAACATCTTCCTGTAATTTTCCGGAGGGGCTCCGACATTTTCCAGAGTTTTTCCTGTCAGCCCCTCAGTGAAATGTTCGTGAATCCATGTAAGAATACAGCAGGAACATGTCTGGAATATTCCTGCAAGCAAGTGGGTGTTTTCCTACAGAGGAATAGATGCAAAACTTTAAATAAAGGTTACAAATATGTCAGGATGAAAGAGAGACGCAGACGTCAAATTGGAAAGTCAACAAGATTCAAGAACGATGGTGACTGTAAACATAAACATATTTCCACAGCAAAATATATACATCATGTCCTGACTCCTGTGCCCAGACAATACCCCTGGCCAGAATCTTCTGGGCATTTCCCTGTTGTAGTAAACACGTCTTACCCGAATCACCTCCTGCTGCGTTCTTCATATATGAGATTTTCCCAGGGTTCATGTCTAAAAACAGCTTTACTTGCAATTGAACAATTTTTTTTATACCATCCTTAATGTCATTTTTTTAACCATATTTAAAGTCTCATCTTTTCTGCTCTGCAGGATGTTACAGGATGAAACGTATCAGGTCCTCAAGCAGCAGCGACAGTTCTGACAATGAGAGTGAGTCATTTGCCCCTAGAGACCCCACAGCCTGAACGGGACTGTATCTTATTTTATCAACACTCTCTTTCTTCATTTAGGTCCCTCAACTTCCTTCTGCTCGTCAAACAAGTATGGCAGCAAACCTGGAACCCCCGCCTCCAACCCTAAGAAACCGGCTGAAGTAAGTTCCCATCACAGAGAGGCTCTACATTGTGGGTTTGTTAAATGTAAAGACCAGCGTTGGACTGACTGTGTGTCGACCTACGTCCCCTCCCCTCTCCCGCAGGTGTTCAGAAAAGACCTGATCAGTGCCATGAAGCTGCCAGACTCTCACCACGTCTCCCCGGAGGACTACTACCTGCTGGCAGACACCTGGAAGCAGGAGTGGGAGAAGGGAGTCCAGGTGCCTGCCAGTCCAGACACCATCCCCGAGCCGTCAGTCAGGTAAACACTGACTCTTATCAAACACGATTTATTTCACGGTTTAATGACCCTTGCATGGCTGACAGATATGCAATTTGTTGTCTGTGCTCAGGATTGTTGTGGAGAAGCCCAAGGAAGTCCTGTACACCCACCAAAGGAAGTACATTCAGTGCTCTTGTCAGGAGTCAACGGAACCGGGTTACGTCAACATCAAAGAGCTGGCAGAGGCCATGTGTCGCTACGATCTGGACGACATGGACCTCTTCTGGCTGCACGCGCTCAACCGAGAGCTTGACCGCATGGGTAAGGATCGGGATTGTAAAGGGATAATCCATCTTAAAATTCACTTCGTACAATCCTGGTGATAGATCATATCTACAACAGCAGACATCTGTCCCCCTGAGATACAAATAAGAGCTTTAAGATTTGGAATCATGATATCCTTACAGTCTGGGCTTTCTCTGACCATGTGGAGCTTTGTCTCTGTGTGTCGCCCAGGGGAGGAGCCCATAGATGAGCTGACGATGGAGCGCACCATGGAAGCCCTGGAGAGGCAGTGCCATGACAACATGAACCACGCCATCGAGACGGTGGAGGGTCTGGGGATTGAGTACGACGAGGACGTAATCTGCGACGTGTGCCGCTCCCCGGACAGCGAAGAGGGGAATGACATGGTGTTCTGTGACAAGTGCAACATCTGTGTGCACCAGGTAAACACGAGAACACCTTTCAGCGCACAGGCCGCACGTGAGCTCCATGTTCAGTCATTTGATTGATCAGTTATTATCAGAATGTTTATTGGTGCAGTCACTAGTGTCATTGTTTCTGCAGCGCTGCACACAGCTGTGCAATGCAGCAAAACACCAAGAAATGTTTTTTTTGATTCATTATGAAACTGGGGTGGGGCAAATTAGACTTTGGTGGGTGCCACAGTCTAAATCATTAATTGGAGCCACTGAACTTGGATTTATATAGCACCTTTCATGATACCCAGGGCCACTTTACAGAGTAAGTAATGAATAAAACAAACCAGGACCAGAAAATGATAATAGTAGCTGGACATGTGATATTATGGCCAACACCTTTGTAAATATATGGTTTTATGGACATTTTAAAGTTTTTGTTGAAGAAGGGTGGGGGGATCTGTCACTTACAGGCTGGTGCAGGGGATAGAGGACAGTATGTTCCAGGATGAAGTACTGTATAGGGGGTTGCAGGAGGTCGGACAGGTACGGGGGCAGGAGTATGGAGGGAGTTATGAGTGAGGATGAGGAGTTTGTATATGATGTGGGACTTGACCAGAGGCCAGTGAGGTTGGAGGGGGGTTGTGTGACTGCTGGAACCTGGAAATACTGGAGCCTGACCAGGACTATACTGAACAAACCCCCGTACACTACTCAATTGCAGTATTACAGACAATAAAAGTAAAAATAATGATTGTACCCTAATCTAAGAATGTTTATTTATCTGTTGGTACAAAATGGTTACTGGTTTATTGTGTTGTCAGTGAATGTGCCAATCCCAAAATGTTCTAACCTGCTCTTCTCCCCTCAGGCCTGTTACGGCATCGTCAAAGTGCCTGTTGGAAACTGGCTGTGTAGGACGTGTGTCCTCAGCCTCGACCCGCAGTGCCTTCTGTGTCCCCAGAAGGGCGGTGCCATGAAGGCAACACGTGCAGGCACCAAGTGGGCCCATGTGAGCTGTGCCCTGTGGATACCAGAGGTAAACACTTGTCTCTTCTGCGCTACCTCTTGACCTCTCTAAGCAGTATTGCTTTAATAACCATGTCAACAGTCTCATATCACACTGAATGCTTTGCTGCCCTGCAGGTGAGCATCGCTTGTCCTGAGAGGATGGAGCCCATCACCAAAGTCTCCCACATCCCACCCAGCCGCTGGTCTCTCATCTGCAGTCTGTGTAAACTGAAGACCGGTGCATGTATCCAAGTGAGTGGGAATCTGTGCATTCATTACTAGTTATTGCCGTCACCAGAACAACACAGTCTATGTAATCATTAACGGTGCCATATGTAAATTTTCTGTGCTGCCAGCCGTGGTTTCTCTGTGGGAGCAGCTGGTGGTGATGGCCACTTACCAAGAGGTTCAGTCATCATTGAATTTACCATACAAGTGGTTATAATACTGGCTGTGACCAAAGTGAACAAATGAGCTTGCCTGAAACTCTTTACATCTTGCTTGAACAAACAAAAGTAAGCCTTCCAAAAGATTCCTCTTCTTCAAGAAGTTTGTTGCTCGATCCTTCGAGGACATCGCAGCTGTAGCAATACATTCTACTACAGTGGAAAACAAGTATCCAAATATCCACGTCAACTTGTGTAAACCAATCTTGTGCAGTTTTACTTTTCTCCATCTATTTTCTACAGTTTATCTTGTTTACAGTTTCAGTTGCAACAAAAAAATTGTTACAAATAATGAGGAGTCAAAATTCCCTACAGAAGGGCAATTACAAACCAAATCATGGTAACGCCAGTAATGAAAGGACGTTTTTTGAAATTACTATTACCATACTCTTCTCATTCCAGTCATTGGTCCATGTTAACACAGTAACCATTTTCCCCCTCTGCTCGCAGTGCTCTGTAAAGAACTGCACCACTCCTTTCCATGTGACATGTGCCTTTGAGCACAGCCTGGAGATGAAGACCATCTTGGACGAAGGGGATGAAGTCAAGTTCAAGTCTTTCTGCCTCAAGCACAGCAAATCTAAAGCCGGGGAGGCCAGCCTGAGCCCGGCACGCTCCAAACCCCCCAGTGAGGTGGGGAAGGTTGGCCAGCGAGCGCAGAGACTACAGGAGCTGGAGGAGGAGTTTTACACCCTCATCCAGCTGGACGACCTGGCGCGGGCCCTCGGGCTCTCTGAGCGCTTGGTGGACTTCATCTACCAGTACTGGAAACTGAAGAGGAAAGGGAGCTTTAACAAAGCTCTGCTGCCCCCTAATGAGGAGGAGGAGAACCTGGTGCTGCAGCCTCAGGAGGACAGCATCCACACACGCATGCGGATGTTCATGCACCTACGACAGGATTTAGAGAGGGTGGGTGCTTTATTTCTCACTGCAGTGTGTTGTACTCTATAGTGCTGAGTGTCTCTTTTTTCTGCTTAGTCTAGGACATTTCTCTTGTTGCTTTAATTTTATTCCTCTTATAGGTTGCTTATTCCTATGCACATTTTGTTTTTAAGGAGGCCAACAGATCATGTGCTGGAATTCCTGTTTTAACTCAGATATCACATTTTGCTATGGTAGATGCTGAGCAGTATTATATGCATTTTGTAACAGAGCTTTCATATTCTATATATTTTGTCAATGTTATTGATAAATGTATCCATTATAGAAATCTCTCCACACAATCACAGTGCACGTAACAGCTTGAAGCCTCGGTTTGGCTGAAACCCATAAACTAAAACAAGGAACTTCTGATGTTACAAATCAAATCATTTGTTTTTATTGTTTTATAACACAGAATCATAGCAGATATTAAATCAACAAACAGATCAAACTCAAAGTTGTAAAACAACATTTTTAAAAAAGGAGCTATAGATGCAAAATCATTGACTACTTGCAGAAGCGTGGTCAACATATTGGTCTCTCGACCACTGCTGCTTAACAGAAAAAACAGCCACAAAACATCACCGCGGTATGAACCTTAAAGTTGTTAACGATGGAGGAGGAGAGGCTTTCACAGTTTTCTCTTCAGGGTTCATATAATGATGTTGTGCTACTGTGCCGTGTGAGATCAGCTTGGCTCATTTTGCAAAGGTGTTGTCTGAAGGCTGTAAGTGTTCCCACGCTTTGACGACTTGTCTCTGCTGTATCGTTTGCGGTATTTGCCTCCACCATTTTTCAAACACTTACTCCAGAGAAGAGAAGGTGTGGTAACGTGAGCACGGGATTGGCTGCTTTGCTACCGCCCGCCTCAGGGGACTTTGCTTCTGTGCCGTGCATTATAACAGACCCGACTAACTATTTTTAATATCAATTTTAATTGATCAAATCAATTAACTGTTGCAATTCACGTAAAAAACGAAAGGAAATGATGAACATGTGTGATGATCTTTTTTATCTGACACCGTAATGTCCGTGTTCTACAGGTGAGGAATTTGTGTTACATGGTGAGTCGGCGGGAGAAGCTGAAGCTGCTGCAGAGTAAATCCCAGGAGCAGATGTTTAACTTGCATGTGCAGCTAATGAACCAGGAGCAGTCTGCTGGTGAGATGACTGTTTCATTATTGTTATGTCTTTGGTAATATTATGTTGTGATTGCCAATAACTGATCTGCAATGTTTTGTCTCCCTTCATCCCAAGGCCTTCCTGCTTCATTCGCAGTGGAGAATACACTGTTCCGTCCTCCTCCGCGGATTACTCTAAAGCTAAAAATGCCCAAAGCTTCAAATCTTGGAAATGGAAATTCCAGTTCCAAATCTGGTAATGGGCCACTCTGTCCGGACAATAGTGGGAATGTTACAGAATACACAGGTGAGGGGCTGGGTCAGGGGAAACCTCAAATGCATGGCCGCGGTCGGAGAGACGAGCGCTCCAACGGCCGTCTGGCTTCCTCGAGCCACTCGAACAACTCAACGCTGCCTGTTAAACCAACTGGCAAACCATTATCCCTACACGCTGCACTCCACGGCCACTCGTCCAACAGCAATGGCAAGCTGGACCAAGACCGAGCAAGGTCTAACGGCCTCCTAGAGAAGTTTGCGTCTCAGAGGGACAACTCCTGCCAGACTCCCAGTCACCAGAACGCCTCAAACGACAAGAGCAGCTTTCGTAAATCTGCCATGGAGCACTTCGGCAGGTCATTCAAAGAGGCGACCATTAATCTGGTACGGACCACAGAGGACCTGAGGGCCTCTGACAAACTGTCCCGCAAAGTGTCTGCCAAGGAGAGACTGTGGGCTAAACCTGCGTCTGAACACAAGGTGAAAAGCATGCGATCGTACCAGGATAGTGACGGATACTGTCCTGACCTGGAGCTCAGTGACTCAGAGCCAGAGGCCAAAGGGAGGCACCAACGGCAGGTTGACACTCCAAGGGAAGGGGTCAGTCGGGGGAAACAGTCGCTGGGCTCCCGACACCCCATGCAAAGGTGACCGCTGTATTTTTTTGTTGTTGATTTAGTTTTTTTTACTCTGCTCACTGCCACTGATCTCCTCCTGACCTTCTGGCAGTCTTCCTAAGTGCCAGGCTGTCTCTCTGAACACATTTCTATCAGGGACCAGACCAAGACCCAGCGCTCACGGTGCTGAACACACGAACCAGAAGATATTTGATGGGTGCTGTCGTCTATAATAACCCAGTAGAGTTCATGAGAAGCGTAGTTACAGTGTTGATTTACAGAACAAATCTGTCTTCTGAGATTATCATGCTTGCCTTTTGTTTGTGGCCAGCATCACATTTTGTACTCGGCACAACTTTGTATTAAACAGCCCTGTTCCCCTGTACACAGGTTCAATCTGCCTTTGACTAAAACTGTTGTACATAAGTTGTTCAAATTGGGTATGTAAATATTTCGTAACTGAAACACACATGTTCCACTTAATTGCTCCTTCACTGTCACTGTGGCCAGAAATTAAAACTGGAATGGCTAATGGGAATCCTGTAGAGAACTCCAGCATGTACTCTACCTGTTTCCTCTTGTTTTCCACAAAGGTGATAAACTGACATGGTGACTTTTTTTACACTTGTCAAATAGTGGAGTCATGTTATTCTAAACATGAATGCCTTTGTGTAGGATTAGACTTTCACACAGTGAGTACCTTCAGTTTTTGCAGGTGGTAAAACAATCAGGTTCTTGCCTATAAGGGAGGAAATACCAGGAAATATAACTACATCCATCGGGAATGACTTGAAACTTGATGCATTAAGGCAAAGACTGAGTGCGGCTCTTGGATCAGTGGCTGCCAGATTTGATTTTCCTCAGATACTAATGATGATCAGCCTTCATCATCACAATTGTTTTTTGTTTTTTTTATTGAAAATTGAGGAGCTTTGCCAAATATGAACCAATTTTTACTACAAAAACTTTATTTTATTTAACAAAAAAGCCAAACTTCTCTAAGGCGTCTTAATAAAAGCAGCTGTACAATAACTGCCTAAAAAACATACATTGTAAAATTTTACCAAACTAGGAGTTAAAGCACTATTGCTTCACAGCAAGAAACTGGGGTTACATTTTATTTCTCCAAATAATTTAGCTTCCTCCACAATCCCCCTCCCAATCACATGCAGGTGTAGGTTAGGTTAACTCTTTATTTGACTGTGGGTGTGAATGGTTGTTTGCCTCTGTATGTTGGTCCTGTGATGCTCTGTGGACCTGTCCATGGTGTACCTCAGGGTCTACCCCGCATCTCGCCCAATCTCAGCTGTGATTGGCTCTAGCTCCCTCATAACCCTCAAAAGAATAAGCTGTATAGATGAAGAATAAAATAAAAACCAGTCCTTATGCCTCCATGCAGGCGACAGCTGTGGAGACATGTTTCCATTTTGTCCGACCCTCAGACCCATTGTTGTGAGCACGATATCTCAGGAACGCCGTGAGGGAATTTCTTCAAATTTGGTAAAAATGTTTACTCACTCGAGGTTAAACAAGGTTCTGGATTTGTTTTTAAGGTCACTGTGACATCACAATGTTGATAACCATTTTGGCCATAAGAATTACAGCAGAATGATCATGGGTGCAGGGAGCTCTGGAGGTTTATGTAAGACAATTCAACACCATAACTCTAGGACAGAATAAAAGACTGTTACCATATTTCACAAAGACACTTGTGTAATATTTGTTACGTAGCATTATTCAGGTGTAATGTTGGCAAGTAACTTATTTTTGTTAAATTTTCTACCAATAAACACAGTTGAAATAAACAGTTGCAAAGTGGCTGTTACACTTGAGTTGACCATTCAGGACAAGGCTGAGCCAGATCCCCTTCTCAAAAGAGAGAAGAGGAAGCAGGTGAAACTGAATCTGTTTCCTCACCTCTAACACTAACAGAGCAGAGAGGTTTATGCCAGTGAAAATGAACAGAAGTAGACACTACAAGTTCCAGAAACTTAATATGCTGAAGTGAAACATGGTTTTCACCTCTGACCTATGCTACTGTCATCAGTTCACAACTGCATTTCGTGTGTCTGTGTGTGTGACTTCCTTCCTGTGCAGCATCAACAAACACTGTCAATGCATTTTTGTTCCGTTCGCCTTCTCAAAACAAATTGTCAAGACTGACGTGGATTGTAAATTGTAAAACAGGTGCACAATTCAACACTCACACGTCCAACACATTTGTTTTCCACAAATAAGGGCCCACATATGCATTTGAACATGCTGTGTTATATTTCTCCATTGGAAAGTAATGTTTTTAAATAAAATGTAAATTAAATAATCGTGTTCTTTGTGTAAATAGATGAATTTTATGAAAGTGGTTTTGTTCAGAAGGATGTTGTAAAGAGGGAAGACAGAGATAAATGAATGACTACTTAAAATAGTGCCATTGTTTATTATTTCATGATTTGTATCAGTTATTTAGATGGATGGCAAAATAGTGGCTGTGTCGGCCATAACCACTGTACAGTTTGTATCAAGGCAAAGCATGCAGGCTATATTTAGAACATGTGTCATTTCCACTGCAGACACAGAAAATCACAGGTGTAACATTTAATAACATGAATGAATGATTCTCTGTTCATCTTAAGTGTGTCAGTGTACCAGCACCAGGAAAGTGGTGGCACTAAATGAAATACAGCCTTTAATAATGTGATTGCTTTCATATGTACTTTAACCAATGATACTTTGTGAAAAGGTATTTAACAGAGAAGAGGAAGCTGTTACGAGAACTGATCTGAAGTCAGTGATGTCGGAGCAGTTTGTCTGCTTTGCTTCATTACACTGGTTAGTGCTGTTTCAGGGTTTATTGACAAACTGAAGAAGCTGAGCAAGACCTGACCAAACCAAATGATCACAAACAAACAGACGATCAGTTTCTTGAAAATGTTTTAGTGCAAAGGTTAATCTCAGATAAAGAGAAATACAACTCTGATGTAGTATGTTGAAATCGTCCCGTTAAACTGATATGTTTTAGGTATTTGCATATTTGGAGTGACACATCTGACTGGTTGGGATATCCAGATACAAAGGCTATAGTCCTGCCTGTGACGAGAAGAAATATGCGATAGTCCAGGTCAGCAGTTCACACTTTTCCCCTCATAAAGCAAAGCTTTGTCTTGGTATGAACAATTCAAAATATGAAATATAAAATGTACACATCAAAAATAAACTTGAAATAATCTTGATCAAAGTTACCATCAAATACACCAAAGTCTCTTGATCACCCCCTGCTGGCTGGCTGGAGTACAGGCCACAAATCCCAACTCCTCTATATGGGACATGGACCAAACTACACTTCAAAATAATTTTATGATTGAATATGATGTTATAAAAACAGGATGAGCTACCTAGGCTCCATACCTTGATTGCTACTGCACAGACTCTGGCAACAAATGACGTCAATTATGCAAGATGGCAGCGTTCATACCTGGGATATTCTGGTTTAATTTCTGAATATGGTCTGTCTGTGGTTTGAGTTCAACATGTATTCTATATCCTCTGATAAACTACAGCAGTGGCCAGTAGTACCAGTTACCTGTCAGACCCTGGGTCAAGGTTTCACATTTATTTATTTCATTTTATCACCATTATAGACGGACAGACAGGTAGTCATGGCACATGATCTCCGTCATGACAACAACATTCATAGAATCACTCCGTCTTTAGCTTTAAGTCTTCAAAATAAAAGCGCAACCTTTGCTTTGTTGTAAATCCTCATATCGAGCTGGATTACAGAGGTTTTATTTTTTCATTGTGTACTTGGGTCTGAAGATTGTTTCGCTAACTAAACAGAACTCCAACTCCTATGAAAAAACGACACCAGCTCAATAATCATTTTAACTTATGAATAAACCACATGTGAAAAATATTTAATTTAATGATAAACACAACAAATCTTCACTGCAGAAAAACCAGGTAGGATGAACGCAAAGTTTTCAAACTTCACTCTGCACCATGGACTGTTTATAAAGAGCTCTGCACACAAAGGCCAGCACACGAACAATAACAAGAGACAGTATATTATAGAAATACATTCGATAACTAATACATTTTATTTGTATTAGACATTTTAAGGAACTCAAAGACACTTTACAATTTAAAAGAAACATGTTTCACAATGACAGTCCTAACAGACCAATATTTAGCTAGCAGCCACTCTGTGCCCTGTCTTAATTTAGCATGTTAGCATACTAACATTTGGCCTTTAGCAATAAAGAACACTGCTGAGGGTGATGAGGACGTCATTAGTTTACTTTGTTTGTGTTGGACAAACTCTGAAGTTCTGATAATGTCACGTGGCTTTAACAACAGGCGTGGTCATGGCCTGTTTCAGCTCTGACCACACCCTCTCAGGCAGGTTTGTGACCTGGGCGGAACCACGTGTCTCTGCAGGTGTTACCGGGGTGTTACCTGGGCCACAGAGGAGCTGGTGGAGCGGCTTCTCTCCGCCTGGTGTGTGTCAGAGATCATCGGCTCGCTGGTCTCTTTAAGAGGAGCCTGTGTGTCTGCTGATCTGTCAGCAGGCTCGGTGCCGCCCTCCCTGCTGCACATCCTGCTGCACCTCAGGGGACCGACTAACACCCGGCTCCCTGTCCCACACACTGTCCGATGCACCACAGCATCGACATACGTGGATATGTTTTGGATAATCGATAGTCGATGTTAAGGAAAATGCGCCGGGCACATGGTCCACGCTCTCCCGGGCTAAGCAGGTAACCGGCGACTGAAGGATCGCGGCCACGCTGCTTCTCCGGATCTCGTCCTCATACATGTGCGATGCTCAGCCATGACATGTTGTAACGCTGTGGGGTGGAAGACTTCTCCCGGCTGTAGTTTCACAGTGATCGTGTCCTGTGGTTGACCGAGGAGGACACAACCGCAGCTCTCTGATCAGTAAGTGTAAGACAAACAGGGCTACACCTCTCCCATGTTTACTGAGTCACACTGATGTCACACCATGCTCTGCTTTATCTGACCACAACCACACACACACACACACTGAAACACAGCGTCCTGTGTGTCTATGTGGTGTAAAATGATAACAGCCTCCAGAAGTGGAAACCCTGATAACCGATCTCTGTGCAGACACTGGAGCTCGGTATGTCCCGCCTGAGTGAGCTGCCCATGGAGAGCTGGATGTCTCACCTGCCCTGTGCTCTGTGGGACACCCCACTGTACCACCTGGCCATCCCAGGTAGGCTGCCACAGATCAGCTCACTGCAGTGTAGACGAGAACTGAAAGGTGTTGTTGGAAATATGTGTGCCATGTATTTGGTGTGAATCCACCTGGTTCCTGTTTGAAAGGTGACCCTGTGTTCCTCAAGGAAACATGCAAACAAAGAAACCAGCCTCACCAGTTTGACAGCCTAAAGCAGCATTTAAAAATAATAACAATGTAATAAAGAATTAAGACTTGTACAAAATGAGGATTCAATATTTTGACATATTTATCACATGCATCTTAAAGAAATGTGCTGCCACCAACACATGTAGTTTACAACATAAAACAACACAACTGGGAGGAATAGAATTTAAGTTATGCTCCTCTCACCTCTCATCTCAAAGCATCCTGAGGGAATATGTTAACATTGTGTACATTTGATGAACTGTGTCTTTCCAGGCCTCAAGCGAAGGAGCTTGGTGCTTCAACACTAAGTAGCTTCTTTGTTTTTACAAGTAGCTGATTGTGTTTTGTTTTTCATTTGCATGTGTTTTAGTAGCAGCTTTTTGAGCTCTCAGGACCACCATAGTTATTACCTGAAATAATTATATTATATTATATAATTATAATTATGTGTATTATCTTCACCCCAATTAGGCAGCCACAATGCAATAACCTACTGTCTGGATATGAATGACAGATCCCCAGTTGACCTCACCCAACCAGACATGCTTCAGAAGCTGGACAAATACATGAAGCCCCTAATTCGACCATTTGTCTACAAGTGGGCAATAACCCAGGTAACAGATCACAGAAGAAGATGCACTTGTAAGTGAAATTATCTATCTTTTTTCTCCTATAATGAATTCCTGGATGCTTGTCTTGCAGGAGTACACTATAAAGCAGCAGCTGGACTGTGGGGTCAGATACTGCGACCTGAGGATTGCACACAGGCCCAATGACAGCTCCACCGATCTGTATTTCTACCACGGTGTTTACACCACGCTGACTGTGGAGGTACATTGACACGATGCAGACACACACGTTTACACCACGTGATGCATTCATGGTCTGCAGAGACTGATAACTGCAGTTAGACGCATAATCATCTTGCTCCTGCTTTGTAACACTTTAATTTGATTGGGTGTTATAATTGTATTGTCTCTCTGGCCAAACAAATCACTCAAAAATCAACATTGTGGTGAGGTTGGAAGCTTTTAATGCAGTGCAGTTATTGCAGTAGAGTTTTGTTTTCACATGCACTTCTATAAATTATCCGTGTTATTTTTATATGAAGCTAGACAGTTTTGGAAGTAAAATCATGTTCATGATTTTTCCTGACAGACTGTTCTCCTGGAGATAAGAGAGTGGCTGGACGTTCATCCCAAAGAGGTGGTCATTCTCTCCTTCAGCCACTTCCTCGGCCTGAGCCCAGAGCTCCACATGATGCTGCTCACAACCATACGCAACGTTTTCACCTCCAAACTCTGTCCCAAAACGGTACAACCTCTCCTCCAGTTAATACAAAGACTAAGACTGGCAATATTCTATATTTTGTCGAACAAATAATAATCATACATTTTATCTCATGGTGCCTTTCATAACACCTCAGTGTTAGTCCATGGGTTCAGACTGATTTTAATCTCATCCCTGCATTTTTGGTCAGGAAGTAAATATAGAATAATTCCAGCTTTAATCTTGCAAAATTCCCCATAATATGAAGCCTGTGATTCTGTTGATTTCAGGAAGCGTTAACTCTTCGAAACCTGTGGGCTGTTGGCCACCAACTGATAGTTTCCTATGAGCACAATATCGCCAGCTGTCACAGTGACCTGTGGCCACACATTCCTTACTGGTGGGCCAATAAATGCAAAGCTGAGGCTCTTATTGAGGAGTTTGAGCACAGGAAGCAACATGGCCGACCAGGTAATCTGCTGCTGATAGACCACCAGACACAGGCTGGACAGAAATGTGTGAACTTTTAGTTAATGCTGTAATTGATCTGCAGCCATCATAATATCATGTGTGTTATTTTATGTTTTAGGAGGTTTCTTTGTCACAGGAATAAATCTGACCGAGGACCTGAAATACATCTGCACTCACCCGACAGAGTCCCTGAAGGACTTGGTGATGTCCACGTATCCGATGCTGCTCAGCTGGGTCAAAGAGCAGACACCGGGCTCCAGAGTGGGCTCCCTCAACATCATCGCTGGAGACTTTATCACAGAGAGCCACTTTGTACCAACTGTTGTTACACTGAATGAGAAACTACTGAAATGGTCGTCATGACTTTTCACCAGTATGCATTATTTTATCACCAAGAAAATGTGAATCACAGCATGAAACATGAGCTTGTTTTGTTAAACGTGATGGGAAAAAAGTACTTGAAAAGTTAATTTCAATATAAATGCACTTATTAGAGGCAGCGAAATGTACATTTCAGTTTTAAAGCTACTTGGAAACAGACGTTTGTTATTGTGACCTGCATTTGTATGTTTACATTCAGTTCACTCTTTATGCAATGCACAGTTTTCAGCAAGGTGACCAGTGGTGACCAAAGCAATAATGATACTACTAATCTCACCTTATCACCATAGGCATTTTAAAGAGTAAGCACAATGTATTCAAAGAGCACATATGACTGTGATGTAGGAACTTTTCTAAATGTGATCAGAAGGTTGAGAAGCAGCGTAACTATACCACCTACTGCAGATGTACTGTATTTGTCCATAGAGAATGTAGACGACACAAGAAACTGCATGGAAACGTTATTTGCATGAACCAAACCTTGACTGTTCTACTTATAACTGACTTTAGTTAGTAGATTAGGCCTTGATTTAAAGTGATGCTGCACCACTGTGCCTGTGGAGATGAGCTTTTCAAATAAACCTGAGCATTTTTAAGCTGATTATCTCACTTCATTTACTCACCATTCAGGCAGGGGACTACTACAGTTACTATGATGGTGGATTTAAGGCAACGCGCCAACAGAAGATGAAAAGTGGAATACAAACTTGAAGTCGAATGAATTGATCATGTTGAGAGATGAAAATTTAATTCAAAAATAAATGTGCATGTATTGTATGCAATTATTATTTTTTTATTAAACTTTGTTTGTAAATGACTTTACTCCCCAAATCACGACAAATTATATCACATTTGTTTCCAGCTCTGGTCTTGTGAGGTCTGATTGATCTGCTAATTGATCAGTATATTGAACTGACAGAAACACTTCCGATGACGACTGATGGCGTATTTACATTTTGACAGCTTCGCATTATTTTTCCTCTTCATCTCTGTTGAAGTCCTTACCAGTCATAATGTGTTCATGTGTATTTTCATGTAACATGTAACTAATCTTTTCTTTAAAATGTACAGTTTCTGTTTAATCCATCAGACAAAGTCTCAGCCACAGAGTCAAGTTACCACTGACAGTGTCTACAGTTATGTCAGTAGCATGGTCCAGCATGTGTTTAATGATATATCCAGTTACACTTGAAGAGTTAAAGAACTCAGATATAATTCTGAATGTCCAGGATCGTTTCAGGATCATGTTTTTTTAATTTATACTGTATTTATTAAAAGACAAACTTTGCTGTATACTGCTTCCTTTTTGGTCATTTTTCTCCTCAAAAATTGGATAATGTCTGAATGAGCCCATGTGAGAGGATTCACCATGAGCGAGTGGGTGTGTTCAGGACATTTCTAACAGGAGACAGAAGCAAAAACAACAACAATAACAAATACATCAGGAGGGAAATGCAGAGGATGTAACGGGGTTTTGGTGATACGCTGCCTGTGTCCATGTAAACAAACACACGTGATCACTGCAGCAGAATGAATCTGTTGAATTTGTTTCCTCAAGTATTTACACGTTGTCTGAACTTATGGGTTTCTTGTCAGGGTTCTTTGGTTAGTTTGACTTTACTATTTAAAGGGCTCTGACATAATGCATGTTGTGAATTAACGCTTTACAAATATAATCTAACTGAAATTAATTGAACCTCAACCATTTGATGTGTTTATTATGCCGACTTTTTGCTCATCGCCCCCGAACTCGCTTGAATCGCCCCTGAGACAGATCGCACGTCTGCGTTGTTTGTTTATCCTCCTGCCAATAAAGTTGTCTTTTTTTTTAAACTGAAGAATCAGGAAACGTGTGAATGTCTCCTCCCTCCTCCCGCAGCTTGTGGTCGATGAAAGGAGACGAGATCACAGGATGTCTGGTCTCAGCAGGTTTCCTCGATCTGTCTAACTCAGACTCAGACCTGGTTTCAGTGAGTCTCTGCTCAGACTGCGGGACATGGACATCAGCAGCTGTCAGGACTGGATGTCAGCTTTACCAGAGCAGCTGTGGGACGTCCCGCTCACAGACCTGGCCATACCTGGTATATATGACACTCTCATGATGACTCCTTCACACATTTAAACAGGACTTATTTATTTCCTACTTTTTATCTGTACCTGAATATCTGCGTTTTGGACTTGTTATGTTTCTAAAGGTTTCTATATATGAGCTTGTGTTTGTCACACTTTTATTGTTGTATTGTGTATTGATTATTTTAGGATCATCTGTATTCATTTGGTTGATTTTCAGTAGTTAAGCTTTAAACTTCCTCTATATTAGAGTCACAAGGTTCATTACATACATAGAAATTCCTTCAAGATGACATAGCGCAGCACCAGTTCTAAACCTGTCTGTCGGAATGTACTGTTCCCTTGTCCTGGGTCTGCAGCTACTTTCAGAACTATTATTTCCTTATTTTCTCATTAGTGAGTCCTCTTCAAACACTTCTACAATATACATTATTGTTTGTGTGCAGAGCTTTTTATAAACAGTCTGTGGTGCAGAGTGAAGTTAGAAAACGTTCATCCTACCTGGTTTATATGCAATGAAGATTTTTTTTCATAAAATTAAACTGAATTGTGCTTTTTTACTGTTGGTGTTTGTGGTTTATATATGAGTTTGAATGATTCAATGAATTGCTGTTAAATTGTTCATACACTGTATGTTGGCTATGGCAAAAGTCTGTTAAGTAATTGAAACAATCTTCAGACTCAAGTTCACAGCATTTGAAAATAAAACAAAAAAATTAAAATTAAACCAGCAACAAAATAAAAGTCCACTCAATGTAAAGCATTGAATCAACCCAAAAAAAGTTGTGCTTTCATTTTGTAGAGAATTGTTGAAGGAGGAAGTGAGTCTATGAATGTTGCGGGGCGGAGATCAGCACCTGGGACTCCCATGACTTTCTGTATCAGTCCAACATGGTGCTAGTTTTGACCCACAGTCTATGGTGCAGAGTGAAGTTAGACAACTTTGTGTTCATCCTACCTGGTTTATCTGCAATGGAGATTGTATATTCAATGTTTTTCCTAAAATTAAACTGAATTTGTTTTATTAGTATTCATATTTGTGAATTATATTTAACTCGTTGCTGTGTCGATTCACACGTGTTAATGCAGGGAGCCACGATGCCATGAGTTACTGCCTGGACATAAACTCCCCCCTAGTCAGGTCTGAGCCCGACTCCTTCAGGTTCGTGGATGGACTTTTCTACTGCTTAACCAGACCTACCATTCTTAAATGGGCGACCACACAGGTATGTATGGTGTTAGAAGTCTATCAGTACAACTGTTATGAAAGCCTAATGCTGCATGACAGAAAAAGAAAAAGTATAATGTTTAGAGGGAAAAGATGTGTTACAACATGATATTTCCCCGATTTTACCGAATATGACATTATAAGTTGAAATGTTTGACATTTTAATGTTATATGTTTATAGCAATATAATTCAGACAATCTGATAAGTAACATACATGCAATATGTCTAATACATAAAATGTCAAAGTGGTGTGAGGAGCATTATGAGACTAAGATTGTATTGCTGCATTTCCTTTTTGTTCTTGTTGCCACTAAGAAAAAGTCAAAAGTGTTTGCAGTGAATAGGTTGCTGCTGTGAGACTCGAGCCTGTCACCCTAACAGGCCTATCTATAGATACATAGAGTTTGGTGACCTCATCTAATCCCCAGCATTGCTGTAAACAACAGGTCTAATCAGACAGAACAGAAAACACATATGATAACGTGTGGTTCGGGTAAAGCTCAAGATTTTCATCCTCAGTTCAACCAAGTGACTCACTCCTCATATCTCATATGATTTGGACGAAACTGTAACTGTTCACTGATGCAGTTAATGTTTCAGCGACAATGACGTCATAAATTATCCAGAAAACAAACAACAAACAAACTGAATTAACTATTAGTAGATTTCCAGAGCTTTACATGGACACTAACAGATTTCTGTGGCCAAGTGGAAACACGCTGTGAAGCAACACATTGACATATTGACATTTTAAGTTGATACGATGAACAACTTTGTAGACAGTTGCTCAGTTACACATTCAACAGAGGGAAAACATTTATTTTTGGGTGTTTCTATCAAGTAAAAGTGCAATTTTTAATCCTCATTTTGCTCTACATGGTGGTTCCTCGCTTTCTGTGTGAAGTTTGCAGGTTACTTCCATGTTTCCTTTCAAAGTACGAAGACGTGCAGATTGGGATTAGGTTATCTGGAGACTCCAGATTGATCATAGGTTTGAATGTGAGCGTGGACAGTTGTTTGTCTCTGTTTGTCAGTTCTGTGATACATTTGGCAGGATTGGCTCCTGTTCCTCTCGCGACCCTGAAAAAGTAATAAATAGATTACGGATTGTGCTCACGGATTATCTTCATTTGCTAAATGCTGCTCTGTGAACCTCATCTCTAAAAACTATGTGGAGCTGAGGGGAACTGCAGAGTTGGATGATCATTAAAAGTGATCACATTCATATTACACACAGTCATTTGGTCCACATTTCATTTCATGTCAGTGTAATCATCTTTGATTTTTGCAGCTTTAAGTGATAATGATTAGAGAACTGTTTCATTTCACCCAAATCCACAGTGATTTGTGAATGTGGGTTAAATAACTTCCTTAAAAAGAACTCACATGTAGCAACATTATTTTGGAATTCAATACAATTGATGTCAATGACCTTAAATCAACATATGTAATTCTCATGTAATACAATTACATATGCAGAACTGAGTTCCTCTTCTTTTCAGGACAAAGGCATCGAGGAGCAGCTTTCGATGGGGATTCGTTTTTTTGATCTCCGCATTGCACACAAACAAAACGACTCATCCAGCGACCTGTATTTCACACACATCATTTACACTCATCTAACAGTTTTGGTAAGTTGGCAAGAAAATAATGGAAATGCTTTAGTTGTATTGAATATCTACAGCATGTTCTTCTTTTACAGGAAACACTGCTGTCTGTGGCCACCTGGCTGAAGTCTCATCGTAAAGAGATTGTTATCCTCGACTGCAGCCATTTTGAGGGAATGGACGACAGATGTCATGAAAGGTTTATTTTTTCCCTGAAGAAGCTGTTTGGCTCAAAACTCTGTCCCCGGACGGTTCGTTTTCTTTCTCCTTGCACAGTTGTTGTATGGTTTTAAAACTACACTGTGGCCTAACACATCAAACCCGCATTCCACAGGAATCTGTCCTTACCCTGCGGAGCCTGTGGGCATCTGGTTACCAAGTCATCGTGACCTATGACTCCCAGAGTGCTATGAGACATCAGGAGCTCTGGCCTGACATCCCATACCACTGGGCCAACCAGCGCACGGCAGAAGGAGTGATCAGTTACCTGGACAGGAAGAAAGATATGGGGCGTCCAGGTGAGTTTAACCGAAGCCGTTTTCAGACATGAACTCTGGGGGATGTCCGCACGATTAAGTCTGGACTTTCTCCAGAGTTTGTCTTTCACATATCTGTGCTCATTCACATTCACAACAGAAATCTCTAGTGTTCAAGCAAGGCGTGGAGCAGCAGGTAGACGCAGGATGCAACATTAATTCAGCTGCAGAGATCACGTCTTTTTGTTTACAGCACATCAGCCCTTTTTACCAAAAGCTCTCTTGACTTCTTCCTCTGTGTTTTCTATGTGAAATGAATTTTTGTTTTCATTCTGAGATATTTGTCCCTTTTTTATTTTTAAAATTTGAGTCTTAGTCTCTGTGTGCGGTTAAATCCTGTAGAGAATCTCCTGCTGTGTTCCCCCATGGGCTCCTTCTGACATCCTGCTGGGTTTTCACTATGGGGCTGGCAGGAGAAACTCAGAGAAAGTCACTAAGACATATGCGTTCTCACATACAGACCCACCAGAGAATTTTTCTGAGAATTCAGTGCATGTCTGAAAACAGCGTTACTTTCAAAGTGTACAGTGTGAGACATTTTTAGCCTATTTAGTGTTATTCCGGATGCGTTTTATTCACAAACATACTTTTTCCTCAGGCGGTTTCTTCGTCTCCGGCCTAAACCTGACGGCCGAGAAGTATTATGTCGCCATGCATCCGAAGATATCCCTGCGGATGCTGACTTTCAGTAACTGGGAATGTTTGAAGAAGTGGCTGGAGGAGCAGATCCCTGGCTCGCAGTCCAAGAGCCTGAACATCATTGCTGGAGACTTTGTAGGGATACTTCCACTCTGTTCTCTGGTCATTGCACTCAACCAAAAACTTGTACGGAAGAATTCAAGTTTGATAAAGAAAGAATTATAAGAAGGGATTTTATTCCACTACAGCTAAAGTACCTCATTTTCCCTTCTCTATACCTCTCTCAATGTATATGCACTTTTGTCCAAATTTGGAATTTGAACTGGAAGGAACATATATTTTGAATGAAGTCATCGGTTTCTGTATTGCTGATTTAAATTAAGGTGTTTTTTTAAAATCCCAATTAATACCATTCCTGAAACGTGCAATTTATATATATGTTTTTACAAGAATGCACATCATTCTTTTACAATATTCATTCTTTTCATTTTAATGCGCTGTACAATTAAACATTTTGACATTTGTGGTGTAGTTTTTTGTTTACCCACATGGAACATCAAGTTATCCTGAGCTGCTGTCAAAGAAGAAGGTTCACTCTCCTCTGTACTTTGCTATCTGCCCGTGAACAGTTTCTTGTAGCGTCCATAAGCAGCGGTGCTGATGAGAACCTTGACGACAGCCGAGCCGTCGTCTGCGTTCACCTGCACGTCCTGAACGGCTGCCTCTTTGTAAAGCCAGCTGTGGATGAGGATGCACATTTACTTACAGATGATTTGTTATTTTAAACATTAAAAAGTGAGAAAAGCAGCTCACACCTCAATTGAGAAGTGCTGAGGTTGACTTGCAGATCTAAAATGTGTTTCCCCGTCGAGTTGACGATCTCTTCTTCCACTACCTTCTTCAGCTCGTCTAGGCCTCGCTCTCGCAGGGCAGATACGGGCAGTGCCTCAGGCTCCGCAGACTGATAGCTGAGAATGATTATAAAAGAGATTTAGAGTTTTTCTTCCTAATTGGCTCAATCCCATTCACATAAGAACAACTGGTGAATAAAATCATGTTAAAGAAATGATGATGAGTTTGAGTATTGATATGGCATTTTATCCCTGAAATTCAGTTGCTGGAGTCAACATCTGTTGCTTTTAGATGCAAGGTCTTGCTTTTGAGAAGTAACCCACCATATCACTAATGTCCTTGAGCTTATTGTGGAAGTCTACAAAATAGATGTGGAAAAACTCGGAGGTGAAACAGGATTTTTTGCTGTTACTTGTTCACAAGGTCAGTTTTATTGTGGACTTCTTTCATGGAGTTCATCAGCCTGTCGGGGACCTTGAGGTTCTTGAGGACATTCAGTACGTTCACCTTCTGATTCGCCGCCTCCGGATGACTTATGTCTCTGACGTGAATCAACAGATCCTGGAAATGTGAGCGAGACGTGCATAGACTTTACACAATCGACTATGAGGAGTTTTTTTTTACTTTAAATGTGAACAAAAGCCTCTCATCACACAGTGATGTGAGCCTCAGGTACATACAGAGTGCTTGATATCGTCCAGGGTGGCAGAGAAGGAGTCGATGAGCTGATGGGGCAGCTGGGACAGGAAGCCGATGGTGTCCACGTACAGAACGGTCATGCGGCTGGGAAGCTGGCCGGCATGGACGGTGACATCCAGGGTGGCGAAGAGTTGGTTTCTGGGCTGGAGACCGCTGTCACCAGTCAGAGCTTTGATCAGAGTGGTTTTCCCTGAGCAGACAACGGGAGAAAAATACCTACAGCACTGGAATATTGTTTAGCTTGACCTGGTGTGTGTGTGTGAGAGAGAGTGTTCCCAGTCTCACCACAGTTTGTGTACCCCAACACAGAGACGATGGGGAACTCATTACGTTTGCGCTGAGAACGCAGCAGGTGCCTCTTCCTGCGCAGTTTTTCCAGTGCTGAGCGAATCTTTATCTCGCGCTCCTTCAGCAGCCTCTGCTGGACCTCAAACAGTGTCTCACCTGTGAGGAGCAAATACCAAGTGTTGTTCTACCCAGGCAGCTCAGCTACTGTTCACGCTGTGGTTTACCACTCAGGTGCGGCAATGACAGAGTACCTGAACCTCCGATGTATCTCGATCCTCCACCTTGCTGATCCATGTTTTCCATTTCATTTTTCAAACGAGATCTGCCAGTGATACAAAGAGTGTTCAAACAGCTGAGGACGCAACACACACCTGCTACTACAACCACACCCCCTGTAACGTATGAAGGGCCACAACTAGTTTTTCTTCTTACCTTCATCCATGTACTGAACATCCATCCCCACCTCCTCCCTTCAACATCCTGATGCTGGTTGTGTTGAATGTTCTGTATTTTAATTTGTATCCTAGTTATATGTCACATAGATAATAATTAACTAACTACAGTCATGATTGTGTTGTGATTGTTGTATTTGTCTAAATTGTTCAAATCAAGTTCCTTACACTAAATAAAGTAATGAGTTTTGATGTTGACACAGCAGGTGTACTATAGTTTTCCTTTTTCTTTATTATTCTACGATCGCACATTTTCACCTTGATTCAGGAAATGCATTTTCAAGTTGTTTTTCTTCTTCTGTACAAACTTACAAAACACGAAATTCGGTTTATGTTTGATTCTTATTTTCTTATTTAGTGTTTCACTTATTATGCATCATCTCCCTAACCCAGGATGACATAGAGTGAAGGAAGATTAACTAAATCCACCAGATAATACTATTATAACACTGAGTCCCCTTGGCCACTGTGACATTAAAATCTACTTTAGATTTGTGGTGATGGCAAAACAACTGTTAACTTGTTTACTGTCTGTGAGGCTCATCAGCCTGGTCTCCCTGATGCCTACGTTATTGAGAATAAATACTTCTGGTTAAGACATCATCCGTCTACAGACACGCTCAGATATTCCCCTCACAAGGACATTCCTGCTCTCATTTTTCTTTTTTCAACTCCTTATTATTTTCCTGCATTTTTGGATTTTATATTGATTGTATTCATGGGAGGCTTCTAGAGTGGTGACATCATCGCATGCCTTCGATCAGCAACTTAGCATTCTCACCACATTTTCAACAAGAAATGTATTACCTAGTATTGAATTCAATTTTATATAACTGAGAAAAAAGTTACCGTAACAAGGGAATCTCTGCCAGAGAGATCTGTAACTTGGCCTCTTTGGTTCTGGCGTTGCAGCGGAAGATGTGAAGGACCACTGAGTATCTGTCAAAGACTTTAACTCCCCACGCTTCCTGAAACTCCCTCTGTGTGGATGATAAACCAGCATGAGTGCACGAAGCCTTTGTGTCTGCAGCCCGGAGGATTTTCAAAGACTCACCTCAGACAAAGGGGACAGACGCTCAACATTCACAAACACAGCGGTGATTCCGGCTGTTTGTCTGATTTTCTCTAAAGGGGGTGGAAGCACAGATGAGTTTGATGAAGTCACAGCAGTTGGATCAGTGCATAGATCCACAGGTGGACACTGAGAGTGGATGGTACCTGTGAGGGACTGGAAGTTGCCTTTGCCAAAGATCCTCTTCTTCTCTGGTGTCTTGGTGGAGAGGATGATCTTGTCCACCACTCTCCAGCTGTCTAAAGTGTTGACGAGCCCCACGGCCTCGGCCATCATCAGCTCGGCTGCAGAGAAAAGCAGATCACAGAGAAGAATATTCAACTACATTCTATATTCCAATAATATGACAACGTTATCTCTGTTCATCCACTTCACCACTGCCAGAGCCTGAGCATGCAAATGGACGAGGTTGCAGCCCAGAACGTGGAACACCAACCACAGTGTCATCTGGAGCATGTGGAGGCGCTACTGTTCTGCAGGTGGGCATGACTGAGTATTTATATATATATATATATTAATACTCTGTAATGGTTGAAAATCCTTTGTATTGCTGTAAAAGTGTAAATAGTTGAGCATTTACAGGTTCAGAACGGTACAGTGAAAACTCTCACACCTCTATACAGTGTTGTTACCTGTGGTCAGATGCTGCTTCCTGCTGCCCCACTTCACATCAGGCTGGACGATGAAGACCCTGTGTTGTCCCCCTGTGATGCCTTCAGGACCCTGCTGCTGGAAAAGCTCCTCCACCTCACTGTCCTCGATGTAATCTTCATCCTCCTCCTCCTCCTCTGTGAAGCCTGTGTGCTGTCCATCCTCTCTCTTCAACCTGCGGGCCCACAGTGTGACAGCTCTGGCCTGCAGGGTGGGCGCAGCTCTCGGCCCCCGTAGTTTGCAGGTGTTGGCGGTGTGTGCATGTTGAGGTGTGTGGAGCAGAGAGCAGGCTGCTGCTGCTGCTGCTGCTCTGTGGCAGCTCAGTGTGCAGGGTCCTAGCCCTGAACAGATCCTGCTCAGTGCTGCCATCAGCAGCTCAACCTCACTCTAACCTCTGAACTACCTAAACTAAACACACTGACCATGGCAGGTCACCCTGCTGGTTCCTTCTTCTTCTTCTTCTGTTTGCATGCCGCAGGCTGGCAGCAGCGCGGAGGGCTCACACTGCCCCCCCCTGTCGCAGGAAGGTTTTCAGACGCACTACTTTAAAGTGTGTTTCCACTTCACACCGCACACACACACCTACAGCTACATGTTAGCTGCATGATGCTAATAGGTAGCATGTTACTCCCCAGCCCGTGTTGTTACAGAGTCACTTAGCCCTGCTTTGTGACTTGTAGGCAGCTCTTCCTGTCAGGCTGCGCTTTAAACCTTCACTTATTAAGCTGCCGGTGCTGGTGTGTGTGGATGTGATCGTGTTCATGCTTGTAGTTCTGGTTGTGAGTTTGTGTTTGGTTGGTAAATCTCACTGGAGGAAGCATTAGTCACAGTTTGGGAGGGAGAGGTTTCCTGACAGTCTCAGCTGAGGAAGAACAAGTGTATGTGTGCTTCTTCCTCACGTCATTTCCTGTGTTATTTTGGCCTCACCATTTTATTTCTCTATTCATCTAACAATATATATATACAATATAAAGACTCTAAAGCTTATAGACACTAAAGCAGCTGTTTTCTTTTGTCTTCTTTATATATACATACTACTGTTTTCTTTTTTCTAACTAACATTTACATGTCTGTTTATTTTATTTTAGTTGATTATTCTGTTTCAACCACATTTCTACAATGTTTGCATATATACAAGTTTTTAAATAAAGTTGTATGACATTTATTTTAACACAAAAAGCATTCATGTCTATTGGTTTTACTCACATACATCGTGTCACAGGTACAGAACATTGTCCGACCTCCTGGTGGACCACAGGTTTTTTTAATTAACCAAATTTATTAAAATCATAACTTACATTTATTACATATAAGAAAAAACAAACAGTAGAGGAGAGAGAGAAAAAGTTAAAGTTTAACAACTAGACAAGCAGAAATGAATCATACAAGAGTTACTCCTAAATGTGGGAAAATGATCATAAAAATGGAAACCTCAGGTAAAACATTATAAATGAATTTATTGCATGGATAGTATCTGTGTGAAATGTAAAAAAAAAAAACTTAATTAGGGAGACTTTGGGCACATTAGACTTGAAGGACAAATATTTTCATTTCATTCAAAATTATGTTGAGGGGAATATTTTTTTTAAAAAGTTTAGTCTTTTCTAGTGTGATACTTTTATTTTGGGTGACACATTAGCTCCTGATGTTGTCAAATAAACAGCTCTCTCCTTTTTTGTGTGGATATCAAACAACTTCAGTAGCTAATGTTACCGTTGTGTCAGCAATATATCCTACATTAAATCTAAATTTAAACATCATTTTAAACATTACTTTTAATATCATACAGGACTAAATCACATTGATGTATGTTGTTAAAAGAGTTAAACATTTACCAACAGGCCTGCCTGTCTCACACTCATTGTTTGAAGCTGTGTCGGTGTCATATCAAACTGTCGTCATCACAACCGTGGGCTATGGGTGTGTGTGTGTGTGTGAGAGAGAGAGAGAGAGAGAGAGAGGGAGAGACTCTAAAAAGAAGTAAAACAGGTCGGACTGATCTCCACACAGTGGCTCCCAACAAGGTCTGTGCCTCTGGAAACTTTGTAGGCTCCGGATTTTAAGTCTTTTTACATCTTGCCTGGGAATCCTTTCGCTTTTAAAACCCTGTTGACGGTGCCAAAGGTCATTTAAACTAAAGGATAGAGTGAGTAAAAAGAGACGGAAGGAGAGAGAGAGAGAGAGAGAGAGAAAGGAGGAAATCCAGGTATGGCTCAGCAAGCCACAACATGACTGAAAGTGAATTCTTTCAGCGTGTGAGATAATGTGAATTAGCGGAGAGACTGAGGCAGATAGTTTCATAATTTAAGAACAGATGTATGTTTGTTCTGTGAATTAAGAGGAGAACATATATTTGAGGTGTTTTTGTGTCTTGCCATGCCGGTGACACTGTGTCGTCCAGGACTGCTGCTCAGCTTCATCACTGTCTGCTCCTGTCTGGGTGAGTTGACTCTGTGTGGTGGTGGACATCAAGACATTGAATGGAGTGCTGTCACTGAAACTCACTGTGCTGCTCCACTCCTCTGTTCACAGACCCAGACTGTGTCCTCGGCATAGTAGGCCGGCCGGTGTCACTGCCCTGCATCTACCCTAACATATCCACCTCTGTGAATGTGTCCATCGAGTGGAGGAGAGGGGAGGAGGTGGTGCTCAGATCAGACTGGGGAGAGGATGGACAGTGGGACAGATGGAGCAGAGACAGTGCTGTTGTCCCTGCTGACGCTGCTCTGACTGGAAACATGTCCCTGCTGCTGCCCACAGTGGATCCCAAAGAGGACAACACCTACTATAGTCTGTTCATCGTCTCAGAGGGGAATCAAAGTGCAGCCGTGTGCACTGTGTGTCTCAGAATAGCAGGTCAGTGATTGATGGATGGATGAATAGATCAATAGATACATATATCCATAAATAGATAGAGAAAGAAAAATGCTAAAAATTAAATGAAAGAAAATACAATTTTAACTAAAATCAAAACCAATCATATTGTGCATAAGTTAAAGTGTGTTTCTAGGGTGACAGTGCAAGTAGTCAACAAATTTACAGGTGTGATACCAGAAAAATTCTAAACTTAAATGACCAAAAAACATACTTCAGACCAAACGTGTGCATAAACAGACTGAAAGATATTCAAGGGGTGTTGACTGAAACTAACTCAGTGTCTGATGGCTGTTTGCAGCCAGTTTCAGTCCCCCACTGGTGCACAGGGGGGAGGCAGAGCAGGGAGAGGAGACAGCCTTCTCGTGTCACTCCACTGGTGGTTTCCCTGAACCTGCTGTCTACTGGCTTATCAACGACACCAAGAAGCCCCCCGAAGGGTCAGTGAGGACCCTGACCACATCACTCCCCGACTCCCATCTCTACAACATCACCAGCCACCTGACGGTCAACATTTCCAAAGACTCCAGAGTGTCGTGCATGATAGAGAACCTGTCCATGAACCAGAACTTGACCTCCACGAGCTGTGAGTTACTAATCAATCAATTGATAAAATTTTATGTTATAGCCCATATTCACCAATCACAGTTTGCCTCAAAGGGGCTTGACAAGGTGTCACATCCTCTGCTAGAGGAGGAAACTTTGAACCTCAGAGAGAGTCGCATACATGTATGAGGGATCCCTCTCCCAGGACGAACTGAAGAGCTATAGATGTTGAGTATAATGGATAAAAAAATGTTATTTACAACATTAATTAGAAAAGACTAACATAAATGGAGAGATGCATCAATGTTTTTAAAGTATTTATACAGAAGAAAATGTCTGACAGAGATGAAGGGCATAGTAATGACAATTATAATGAAAGAGGGGCATGGCCAGTAATATGTGAGTAGGTATATTGTATATCTAAACAATCTAGTTGTAATCATGATCCACGACCATGATCCACGATGTGTTCACAGCTTCATATAGTCTATGGTTCACAGCTACAATCCTGGATCTGCAATCATGAAGCACAAGGTCTCCGGTAAAGGATCAAGTCAGTAATGTGTTGATGAGACATTAATGAGAGGAAGAGGGCCAATCACACACACGATGATGTTTCAGTCACACCTTCGCCTCCTGTTCACTTCCAATCAGTGTGAGCGAGGAGGTGAACATTTGCTTCTTGTGTGTTGCTTTGCATTGAGTTCAACTTTGGTGAACTTTGACCTGCGGTATTTGCTTTGCATTCATGTATGTGTGACATGTAAGACGGACGTGAACCAGCTCTAACTATAAGCTTTATCAAAAACAAAGGTTTTAAGCAAACTCTTAAACGTAGAGAGTTTCTGCCTCCAGAACTGAAACTCCAATGTTTACTCTTCTCTGTGGCTCTCATGGTGATCAGATGGCGTGAAGAGCCGCCCGCTGAACAGACGAGCGTCAGAGGCCATGTGGATCTTCAGCACCGCTCTCTGTGTGGTGGTGGGCATCATGGTGATAGTGGGAGTGGGCTATCAGATCCACCTGGACAGAATAAATAAGCGGAAGAAGAAGGCGTTCCGTAAACATCAGCTGAGCAGAGGTAGGTTTCATCTGCTGGTGGCGTGTTGTTGGGCTGAAACCTACATACTTCATTAACTGAGTATATGTGTGAGCCACTACCCTGGTTTTGTTTTGTGTAAACATCCTGGATACATTACCTGCAGTGCTCCAGTGGAAACAGGATAATGGCACAATATGGTCCTCGCTCATCAAAGACCTTTCACTTTGACATTTGTCACATTTGATCTCTTCAGATTATTGTATTTTTCTGTAAATTTCCACTTCAGATGTCAACTTTTACAACACATTGCAGCTGATTTATTATCAGATGAGTGGATGAAAGTATCCCTTTTCATAACTTGACCTCAAAACCTCAATTTTAAAGAACAGTATTTCCCATCCTTCCCTATAATGAGAACGTGAGAAGAGAACGTATTTTGGATATTAAGTTGACCTTAACTCTGTCCTGGTTGATTGGGAGCACAGTTTCTGTTGTGGACACTTTTCCCGGTGAGGAAAAGGCACTAAATACATAACTGTATAACTTAAATCATTCACAGAGGTGAACCCCAGTTTACTGTGATTTTGTGATTACTGAAAACCTGAATGAATGTTTGTTGTCTCCAGTGTATGACAGGGAACACCAGAACGAGGAGGAGACAGAGGACATGAAGCCAGTGTCCAAAGAGACTGATGTTTAAAATCCTCCTAAAGTGACACTTTAACAGCTGGAGGCAACAAAGCACTGATTTGTACACAATTGTTGTCTGTCTACTTGATTTTGTCAACTCCTTAGGTATCCAGCATGAACACTCAGGACCAGTAGACCTCATGGGGACTAAAGCCTTGACAGTTCTGAACTCCTGGTTAAAGTCAGGGGGTGAGATAGGAAAGTCCAAATAAGTATAGCTGCACAAACCTGTGTGAGTGTGTGTGTGTGTGTAGGAGTGGGTTAAAATAGATTATGTAGCTATAAGTAAAGTTACTCAGCTCATCTCACCTCTTCACTATCTGTAACCCTGTTTCATGTTTACTGGACTCACCTTTACTCTTTTCTCACGGGGAGATGATTTATTAAAGATTCACAATCTCAAACCTGGTGCTCTTCAATTTCACCTCACGGATGTATTCATGTTTTTTAATCGTGACAGAAAATATGACAGCGACATTTCAGATCTCTGAAGATCACCAAAGCTGTTTCATGAGTTGAAATTAAGCAAAATGGATGAAATATTAAAGAAAAGAAGAGAAAATAATTGGATAAATTCCAGTAACATACAATGACATTAAAATGAAGCTGCAATCTAGAATATTACTGACTAATCCAAATGTCTTTCCTGAACCATTACAAATAATCGGGGGAGTTTTCACATTACATCATCTGTAACCATAAATTATATATGACCTCAATTTCCTGTTGATCAACTTATTTCAGTTGACTATACAAAAAGTGTAATCACAGTTCCGTCTGTAAGACGTCGGCAAGATTACTGCGCTGAAATCATTGGGACTCAGTCAATCGATGGCCGTCCCAGCTGCATCTCCTGACTAACTGGAGGAAGACTACGGGTCGCAGCAGAAGTCTGATGCACAGTTTGCATTCGGTGTCTTTGCACCTGATTTCTTGAGGTTGTGGCGTTCAGCTCTATCCCTCTTGCACAGACGACACCGTGTAGAGGTCATTGCGACGCTGAGCCGTGATCGGGATCTGCTGCCGGATGTCGGCCAAACGCTGCAGGTCTGGGGACAGGTGACACAAATTAAATGCAGACTCACAAAGTAAAGAGAAGTGGAAACAATAGTGTGTGTGATCCAATACATCTGCTCTGCATGTACTGCTCCTGTGGAGCAGACGTCTGCAGCCTGTGGTCTTGCAGCTGTGTCATCACACCAAGCACATAATGATTGTCTGTCTCTGTCTGTTATTAAGCAGGATTACGCAAAAACGACCAAACAGATTACCACAAAACTTGTTGGAAGGATGTTTAAAGGGTTAGGAAAGAACCTATTAAATGTTGATGCTGATCTGGAAAAGGGGTCAGATGTAGTCATTTTGTTTTCACTTTTCTTTTGCAACATTTTCCTTGCTTTCTGAGTGATTCATTGATCTTGATGAAAAAATGTTTTTAGAGGACTGATATTTATGAGTGTGTGAAATTTGGTGCAGATCCAAATAAAAATCTGGATCTAGTGAATTTAAATTTGAGGGAACTGCTGGGCTTTGGTGGAGGTATGTGCTCCCCTGAGTGACCCTAGAAAGGGTCGTTAAAACAAAATTGAATCAACACCTGCTTTTGAACAATCTATATAAAAAGTGAACATTTTAAAGTTTTGTTTACAGCACTGACATGAGCACATGATCAAAGATGTTTCACACACAATGCGTGATGATGGGACACCCTGAGGCTGTCAGAGATACTGAGCCAACACCAAAACAAAGTGGTGAGATGCTTCACTGCCTTATCATCAAGATATAATCATCATTATCATCTGTGCCATTGTGCAGCTCGTAAACAAGACGTCGTCAGCCTGCAGCGACTGTGACTTTGATTGTTTAGTGTGCATTTGTAATTCTACTGATCAACACAACCCGACTGCTCTTCCACTCACCTATATCAGCGTATATCACACCCTCCTCTGCTCCCGCCTTGGATATCACTTCTCCCCTGCAATGACAGGTTGAAAAAAAAAAATCACAATACTGCAACATCTAAAAATATCCAAATACAGGGAGGAGAAGGTGAGACATGACTGTGGTGGTGGGGAGTCATAGTAAAATAGATTTACTACACTACTGTGTTTAAGTAGCATTTGAGGCTCATGAGTATTTACACTTGATGCCAGTTTCCAGTCTACTGCAGTACATTTTAAAAGGTACTCTTTAGTCCTTCATATGAATGATGGATACTAATACACTCTCACAGTTACTCCCTCTGTCTCTCTCACACACACACACACGCATGCACGCACGCACACACACACGATCCTGTCTGTCAGTCACAGCTCCCTCTCTACTACTTATTCCACTCTATATACTTTCCTCTCTTCCTTATCACGCCCCATAACACGACCCCATATCTTCTCTCGTTTCTCACCATGGGTTTACAACAGTGCTGTGACCCCAGGCCACGTATGAAGCAGTCTCATCTCTGGCAGGTGAAGCTGTGGCCACGTACACTTGGTTATCAACCGCCCTGCATGGAAGACAACAACGTTACAGCAGTGCCAGTCGTGGTATTATTAACAGCTCATATGATACACAAGTGCAATGCAGAAAAATGTAATATCGTGGAAATGTTTATTGTTTTATAATTAAATTCAAAAAGTGAAACTTTCGTGTATTTGAGAAATTACACATAGGGTGAAATATTAGAAACCTTTTTCAGTTTCTATTTAGATGATTATTGCTTACAGTTCATGTAAATCAAAAATACAGTATCTTAAAATATTATACAATTGAAAAAGGATTTATACGACACAAATAACTCTCTCTGTGAACAGCCAGCCCTCTCAACAATTTCCTTCAGTGGCTCCCCCTCCTTGTGGAGCGTGTCGATGAGCGTCTTCTGGAAAACGTGTGTAATAAGCATAGACTGTATATAAAGAGGTAATAAGTCTAGGGGTGTACTGCTGTTCACATTTCGTTAAAATAAAGAGTTATCCTTTTTTTGAAGACAGAGGTTTTACAGGAAAAAATAAGTTGTCAAGAGCAAATATGAAATGTATTTTGACTTAATGGTTTTGGGTGGTGACTGGGAGTGTGAGTCTGACCTCCCCCTCTGCAGGAGCTCCCAGTGCGCTGGGCCAGTCGTCATGTTGAAGGCTCCGGGGTAGACGAGCAGCTGACAGCCTGAGGACCGCAGGACACGCTCACTCAGCTAAATAACACAACACTGAACTCATGACATACGAGCCGTCACTTCAGCCGCTCACCTCTCCTGCTGTAGAGCTGCGCCAGCTCTGCAAACCTGATGTCGTAGCATATCCCCACGCCGACTTTACAGAACGCTGCAGGGCGAAAACACAGAGAAAGCAAACGCATCAAAGCTCATCCAGCTGCAGGGAGCGAAGACACGGTCAGCAGACGTCACTCACGCGTTTCAAACATTGACAAACTGTTGCCTGGACTCAGCGTCTCTGACTCCTGGAAGCGAATCTTTCCCGGGACGTCGATGTCAAAGAGGTGAATCTTGACAAAGAAAACATTGAGAGATGAAGATGATGTTGTTGATGTCCTGCTATAATCTCACTTTAAACAAATGACAAACAAAAAAATGTGTAGTCAATGCACACACACCTTTCTGTGTTTGAGAATCAGCTCTCCATCAGGCCCGAACACTGTACAGCTGTTATACAACTTCCCTCCATCCTCCTCAGGGATTGAACCTGGCCAACACAGACTCTTTACATCACACACTTCCTCCTTAAGGATGCCACAATCATGTCCCAGAGCTACTTCAGAATTATTCCTTGTCATTAGTGACTCCTCCTCCAACAGTTCTACAATATACTGTCAATTTTATTGTTTGTGTGCTGGATGTTGTGTGCAGAGTGAAGTGAGAAAACTTTGTGTTCATCCTACCTGGTTTATCTGCAATGAAGTTATCACTGTTCACTTGTGTTGTTCTTATATAAGTTTGAATGATTTACTCAGCTGGTGTTACTTTTTCATACATCACATATTCGAGAGGTCTGTTAAACAATCAACACAATCTTCAGATTCAAGTTCACAACTTTTCAAAATAAAAGCTCTGTAATTCAGCTCAATATAAAGCATGTCAGCAACAAACAACTGTGTTTTTACTCTGAAGAAAAGTTGTACGTTGTACAGTAACATATGGTTCCTTACCTCCCACCAGATACACCTTGTTCTCCTTGGCTGCCTCTGACAGCACCTGGGTGGACTCTCCTGGGATCCGCTCAGCATAGGAAGAGAAGAAGCTGGTTCCATACGGAGAATTGAAGCATTCCTGTGTTTAAAACCAAGTACAGAGAGAGCGTCGGTTTTACAGCAAGAGATGAGATGTGACTTGAATCCTGGCCTCAGACTGTCATGTGGAGTTTGATATTTCATACATCTTGTGTGAGAAGGGGGGCAGGGACAGAGAAGACCTCCTCTACCAAGGAGTAAGCCACAGACTGGGAAATGCTGGTTGATGTAGGCCAGCAGCTTATAGTCTCATCACACATTGTTACCACCACCCTATGACCTGCAATGCTGGCATCTGAGGAAGAGCAACAAGGCTGGAAAGCAACAGTCTGCCAGTGAATGTTGGCTTCAGGGATTTTGTTGCAACATCCACATCATGTTGCTCTGAGCTCTGGGAATCCACAGACCATTAAATAAACACCCCAGACTGTAGAGCGCTGCAGCCAATGGCTCTGGAGGAAAGATCCCAACTGGGCCCCAAGATGTTAGGGACACACACCCAGGTCTGATCAGCCTGTGGTGAGCCTGCCTTAGAAGAGGGTGTCTTGTGAATAAAAAGCTGAACTACCTGATGACGCCTAACATCTGCTGGTGCTTGGCAAGCTACCATAACCCTGGTGTGGAAGACCTTGAATTAAACAAGGGGCATTCACCATCTCGTTCTGTGCTCTAAAATAAGTGCTGCACGGACCAGAAGAAGGAATACAACAATCACTAACACTTTAAATCTAGTCAGCTGTGAGGCAGCCTCCTCCTGCTCACCGGCAGCAGCACCACCTGACTGTCCCGACCCGCCGCCTCCTTCACCAGCCTCCGGGCTCTGCTCAGGTTCTCCGCCTTCACACCGCTCACCTGCAGCTGCACCACCGCCAGACGGAACTCTGACAAACACCAAACAACCGTGAGAGAATCACAGCTACAACACATGAGTCCACCATCTTTATTCTAGGTTAGTTTGACACTGCAGACACAGTACAACACACATCATAGCTCGCAGCAGAGAACTTACTGGACATTGCTCTGGTTAAACCTGACATGTGGGCACAGTCGATCTGTTAGTGCCACAGTTCGATCCTGTAAAACATTCATGAGCAGGCATGACATGTGCTTCCGGGTGGCTCTTTGCTTTTCAAAATAAGATTCTGCAGTAAGTCTGCACCTTCAGGGAGGTGTTGTAAGTCAAAAACAACGGAACAATAAACATATGTGAGTTAGATTAGATTTTTTGTCTTATTTCAACTCATTCTGTCACAAACATTGGAACTAGTAGAACGTTCAGACGTTTTAATCTGAAGTGTACAGACGCAATTACGTCAGCAGGGGGTGTTTGTTCTGCTGCCAATCCAGTTTCAGGATGAGAGGAGTCCCTCACTGCAAACATAACTAAACATACCAGGAACATAAAGTATGACTGAGTGGCTTCACTGGTGCAGTTTAATAATCTCCATTTATTAAAAACAGCAACGCTTAGAAAAGGATAGCAGTACAGTAAGGTGCCAGTTACATCTGAGACATGTTGCATTTCAACTAGTGGTTGACATCCTTTGCCAGTGATGTAAAGAGTTAACACTCTCAGTGAAGGATGTTCCAGTTAACAGAATACTGAAAAGTATCACAAAATTACAAAGTACAACACAATGCATGGGTTACACAGGAATGCTCTGAAGGACCGCAGTGAAGAAAGACCAGATTCAGGAGTTTTTAATTCAAGTTTCTGCATCTTGTTGCCCATTTTTAAATGTGCCACATGTTTTAGCCCAGGATGATTTCTCCTCCCCTGACTGAAATTTCAACTGGAGCTTGTCAGGAAAGTGCTGAATCACTTTAGAGGCTTTGACACTTGAAACCCAGGCTGCCTGCACAACTAGACAAATGAACTGGTGAGAAAGAACGAAGCGAGGGAGAGTCTGAAGGAGAGTTTAAGATTAGAGGGGAAGCAGCGACACACTGAAATGCTGCCACTGCTGGTGCCAATATCACACATCACAGGCATGAGGCTGAAGGCAACAGTGGCGAGCAAACTGGAGATGCTTAAGTTTCGACTAATACAGTGGATGAGACGGGCTGATCGTAATTCCTGACAAAGCACAGTCCTTGTTGTAGTGACGTTTTCTCTCTGAACAGGTAGACGTTAGCATGGTGCTGCTTCTGTTAGTGTAAAATCATTCACATACTGAATCTGAATGGGATGGAAAAATACTGAGGCGCTCGTGCTCCTAAAACAATCACTGAACCTCCTGTTGATGCAGTCCAGAGAAATGTGAGCAATACTTTTGGAGAGCTACATCAGACTGCTACGAGATGAGGTTAATTCATTACTGTGTGTAAAAGTTAAGTGAATGATCACCCAGAAACTGTGTGAAAGGCTCACGTCTCTAGAGAGAAGGGGAACTTCAAACTCTGAGCTGGTTTAGAAGTTTCACTGCATATTCTAACTATCAGGATATGCTTTCAGAGATACACTGCAATCCGTGCCGATATAGAGCAGTTTACATCACATATTCAAACAGCCTCAATTAGTATATATTTAAGGAGCCTGTTGGAAAAGAAAAGTTAACAAAAACAGTTGTGGGGGGGGGGGGTTGCATCTTTATGTTTGCCAAATTATGCTCACAACAAGGATCCTTAAATCTACTCCACACATCCGAAAAGTTAATTAAGATACATGACTGACCTGCGATACCGTTCACTACAAAACAAAGGAGTTAGACTGGAGATGCTCAAGTCCAAGGAAAAGATCAGTCAGTGTTATGATTGAAAACAGGTTTGCCACCGGTCGGTCCGTCAGTCAGTCAGTACGCTACGTTAAGGCCAGAGGGAAACTGCCAGGGTGGAATTGCACTGTAATCCCATGTTTTGTCAAGAGTAAAGTAAAACATATATAATGGTTTGATGACTGCAGAGCACCTAAGTATTTGAACACACATTCTGTCCCGCAGGTCTGCAGTCAGCAGTGAGCTCCCCTGTCCCAAACACAGACACACAGGGCTGCACAGTCAACACTGCACTGCATCTGTCCAGGAGGGAGGACAGCCGAGGGAGAGTGGGACAAGGTGTCACTCTTGGCAGACGGTGACTCTTCTTTGCAGTTTGCGTCACGGCTGGCCGTCGAGAACCCCTCCATCGTGACACCATCAGCTCTGTTTACGAGCTCTCCAGAGCATCTAGGACTTTCATGATCTGCTGCTTGATGACTTTGGTGGCGTCGCCTGCGTTTGGTATCAAATATCTAAGAGAAGGAAGTGAAAGTAGATGAGCTCAGAGGAAACAATAGTGAAAATTGCATTTGAGTTTCATGCAACATAAACAATAATAGATAAAATATATTTTATGTAAAGAGTTTCATAGAGATCAGATGTCACATCCTAAGATAATGAATGAAGGTCTAACTCAGCCTGTGGCTCTTTATTTAGGGCAATCTGTAAATGTTTATTAAAGGCATTTAATAAAGTTGTTAAAGATAATTTTAATTTGTTCACACATTTAAAAAATGTTCTCATGTCATGCTGATATTAGATGAGAGGATTGATACCACTCTCACCTCTGTACACTTGTTAAGACTGGAATTAACTTGTTGCTTAGCTAAGATGTCGCTACATTATACAGATCCCCATTTACCCACGATTTGTCGTTTCCTTAGGTTTCCAGTCTTTATGCTAAGCAAAGCTGCTGCTGGCCCCAGGTTCATATTTAGTGCACAAACAAAAAAGTGGTATCAGTGTTCTTATCAAAGTCTCATATGTCTGTGAATAGGCACATTTGATTTGATGTTTTTCCCCTGCCACTTATCATGTTGTTGTTGTAAGTTATCACAGAAAACAGAGCATATCAAGTGTAACTTTTAAATAACATTGAATGTTAGTGTCCTATATAAGTTATACAGACTAAGAAGTTCACCACTGCTTTAAAGTCACACCCAATCACACTTGTCATCAACTGGACTTCAGATGTGAAATCTGCGTCTGTGAACAAGCACCTCTCAACTGCTGATATCTCAACTCCAGCTGAGTTGTTGCTGCCAAACTTGAAGGTGATCAGTTCGGGGTGCTTCTTTTTGGATGTGATCTTCACCACAGAGTTCAGTGCTTGTCTGGATTGGATGTAGGCGAAGCCTTTCCTTGAGGCGATCTCCCTCAGGCAATACATGTGAGTCGCTGTGATCAACAAGTGGCTGGAAACACAAAAGAACAGTGTGAGGGTTAAGATTCATGGATTCCTGAATTATAATGCATCTTGTACATTTATTTGAATGAAATGTGGATTAGTCATGTTTTACATTTCATTTAGACGCTTTTATCCAAAGCGACTTACAATAAGTGCATCAACCATGAGGGAACAAACCCAGAACAACAAGAATCAAGTAAGTACATTTTGCTTAAAAAAGTAAAACTACAAAGTGATGATATATATATATATATATATATATATATATATATATCCTTTTTTATATATTTTATTTTTGCTGGGGGATATTTAGACCTTATCTTCACCGAGGTGTAGGCGGAAGACGTGTCTTTAGTCTGAGGTGGAAGATGTGTAGACTTTCTGAGGTCCTGATGTCAATGGGGAGCTTGTTCCACCATTTCGGAGCCAGCACAGCAAATAGTCGGGATTTTGTTGAGTGGCTAGCTCGCAGTGAGGGAGCAGAAGAGCGGAGTGGACGGACTGGGGTGTAAGGTTTGACCATGTCTTGCATGTAGACTGGACCCGATCGATTCACAGCACTGTACGCAAGTATACTAATGTCTTGAAGCGGATGCAGGCAGCCACTGGTAACCACTGAAGGGAGCAGAGGAGTAGAGTGAGTGAACTTATGTTAGTTAAAGACCAGTCAAGCAGCTGCATTCTGGATGAGCTGCAGAGGTCGGATAGCACTAGCAGGTAAACCAGCCAGGAGGGAGTTGCAGTAGTCTAGACATGAGATGAACAGAGCCTGGACCAGAACCTGCGCCGCCTTCTGATGTCGTGCAGCATGTATCTACACGAGCGGCTTTTTACAGTAATGTTGGCAATAAAGAGAGTTGACTGTCGAGTGTCACACCTAGGTTCCTAGCAGTCTGGGTGGGGCTACCACAGAGTTGTCAATGGTAATAGTCAGGTCGTGGGTGGGTTTTAATCTGCTAATGCTTCTGGACACATCTTCAGTGATGTTCCTGGAATTGTCAAGTGTTTCAGGTTCAACCTCCTCCAGGCGACCCAGCTAAGGCTGATCAGACCCCAGCTTGCGTCCAGATGGCTAGCTAGCGACCTTGCACCCCATGTTTGTTCTCTTTTGAGCAACAGCCATCTTGAGGCTTTCTCCGCCACTTGCCCAGTGAACTGAAGGCTTTGGACAAGGATCGAGCAGCAAAACCCCTGCATGTGACCTCTCCTGAGAGACACTTTGCCCTCCATCCAGTTTGTTGACATCCGCTGACCAGTCTCTCATACTTGTGAGCTACTTTTCAAAGGCCTCTTCCAAGCGCACTTCCCAAGCTCTTCAGACCCACTGAAGATGTCTGGTCACAAAGTGGAGGTGACAATGTGATGGGGGAACTTCAGTTGCCTCTCAATGTCCACCACTAACTGCCAGTCAGCCAGGAAGTCTGTAGATGGTCTTGCAGTGAGTCTTGGCAGCTCTGCTGCTCTGATAAAGGTGATTGCTTGCTTGGTAGAGAGGGATTGCTTAGCCCGTTCAAAGCCTGCACCGATTGCTTCAGCACTGGCCTTCAGGACCTGGTCATGCCTGCATTGGTGCTGTCCCTCACCTAATGCCTTTAAGCAGCTGCTCAGAATGAGCTCCATGATCTACTTCATTTGCTTGCTCAATACAAATCACAAGAGGAATATTTTTACACAAGTCATTCATATATTCCACTCACCTCGGGAACATGTGGCCAGTTTCTTTCACCTCATTACATGGAATGTGATGCTTTACGTCTGGTTTGTTTATCCAGGTCTGAATGTTGACAATCTCCTTCCTGTCATCGTCTGACATTGAGGAGCTGTCAATCTCATCTGCAGAGACAAGAGATGGAAGTAATTCATTTAAATAAAAATTGAATCTCCCATATTATTAGTCTTGAGGATTAAACTCCTTTTTAATTTTTAATTGAGAGATTACCTGTGTCATACTCCTCTTCATCACCGATACTGAACACAGGTTTAACACCTCGGTAAGGTTTGCCAACACGGTCGCTGCTGCTCACGTGCCTGGAGACGCAGTAACAACAAACACGGGTACTAAGAGCCTTACATCAGAACTAAGACATAAAGGGTTAGGGTGACATTAAATACACATAACAGCAGGGTTGAACACAAATAGCAATGACATGAAGATCTCCAGGCTGCAGTAAACACTCTTAGCCCTCTACTGCCATGTGTTATGCTGCTGAAAACAAAGAAAGAGGTTAAGAGATGTTTCTACTGGACACCAGGAGTTAAGGTTAGTTCCTGAATGATATTCAGGGCTATTTAAATCAATAAAACATTGTAATTATTTCTGTGGTGCATTTAATTTTTCTTTCATAGCCCCGGCTATCATCTAAAAGAACAATGAGATGGAAAGACAGACTGTTAAGTGCATCTACAAGCAAACAGCAGTGAGGCTGAGGTTCACCCTGAAGCACCTCAGTTATTTGCACTAGAAAGAGACAGTGAGTTGTGGGTGTAAAGATGAGTCAATGCTTCCTGAAAGGGCACAGCAGCTTCAACAGTGCCACTGTGAGAGCAGTGCTACATGTTAGTGAAAGCATGAGGACAGATCTGTAGAAACATCTTGTGCGCAGCCTGCCCACGCTATATGGAAATGTGTCATTGGCAGAGATGCTGTTGCTAGGCATGCGTTATTGTGACACAAGGTAAGTTTCCTACAGCCCCTCGCGGACCGGTGCGGGCCTACAGCCAGTGGGCATGCTAGTGACAGACGACTCGATGTCAGGGAGCTCTTACCGATCAGGAATCACCTTCTCTGGCCAAGGCAGATTGAAAGATATTCTAGCATGGAATAAGGCACAAGGTTTGGTGAACTTAAGTTAAAACACAACAAAACTAAATGTCAGTCAGTCATAACAATGACCTCATTTAAAGTCGTCTGCTCACAATCAGTCCAGTGTGCATATTGTGAAAGGCAGCTATGGTTTGTAAGAAAAAAAAAGTTTTTTTACCGACTATACATTTCATTGTTCAACAGGTGTGAACACATATCGACCGCAAATCACACACATCAGCCTGTTTCATATTAGCCACCAAATTAATGTCCAACTTTAGTGGATCTGAAAATGAAATATTCATCATCTGAATATGTTGATTGCTTATATGAAGACTTTGCTCTTACAAATCTAAATCATAGGAAAGCTCAATGTTAATGCCAATACTAAACAAGTAGTAAAGGTTTGTCTGTGATGTAGCAGTAGCTTTGTGGTATATCACCATAAGAGGGAAGTGGGGCCTCACCTGTCTACAGGGGTGGAGGTATTTTCAATGAAGCTGATCATCTTCTCCTTCACGTTTACCGATTTGGACTTGAGAGCAAATGTCATTTTGTTGACCAGGGACTTCACACCTTTGCCGTCTCCAGGGCTGCTCAGAGACTCTCCCTGTATTCCCAGAAGAAAAAAAGGACACAAATAAAGATATATTTCAAAAGTCCATGCGTGCATATCTGAAAGCAACTACAGAAACAAATACTCTCCAAATACAACAGAAAAAATATACAACAAAATCCTGAGAGAAACTACATAAGCAAAACTCATCAACATACCTCCACCTTATCATTACACATGTGTAGATATAAAAGAAGTATACCTGACCCACTGTCCTGTTACAAACACTGTATAACATTATTTTATATGATTCCAACTCTGGCCACTTACATCAGCAGAGCTGAGGCTGCTGTGAGACCCTGATGTGCTGACAATCCAGTGGACGTATGAAGAGTCCAGGCCTTCCACATTAATGTCAACCAGATGCTGCTGAAGAGCTGAAATCACACAAGTCTCTGTGAGTTTAGAATTCTTACCCATATATATATATATATATATATATTTTTTTTTATAAATATATATTTCATATTTTGTCCTTACCCATAAAACCTCCTTTAGTGATACTAACATATTCTTTGTTTTTCTGAAAGAGAACACAAAGATGTTAGATCATGCAAAAGTATAACATTAACGAAATTGTGCAAAAATGTTTGTATCCACACAAGAGAGCAAAACAAAGGCCTATGAAGATTTTCACTCTTTTTTTCCCCCTTTCTGTCCAGTGAATCATCCTTTCAACACCCCTCACCTGCAGGAAATGGGCCAACACCATGTTCATGTACATGTCCTCCTCCTCCCTCCCACTGCCCATGAAGCACAGGTGCTCTCCGCTGGCGATGGAACCAGACTCTAAAGACTGCTTCTGAGCCTCCAGCAGGGATTTCACAGAGAGAGCAAACTCAGAAGGATTCTGGAGCATCTGTGGGAGGACAGGAACAAATGTATTACTTCATATACATTTAGATTTTCCACATACATTTTCATACAGAGCCAATATTTTAAATCTCTCACCAGGTCAGAGTCCAGGTGGAAGGCCGTGGACAGATGCCCAGCGTTGTACTGCTCTGCAGGCCGACAGTCCACCACAAAGAACCGCACACCATCCTGAAGGTAAATTAATATGACATCACACGTCATCTTCTCTTTCCAGCTTCTCACATGGCAGAACTTCAAGTGTTAATAACATCCTTGTTGGTCTAAAGGAGTGAAAAGTAACCTGGGAGTGTTACTGACCTGCTGAAGCTGGTTGGCCTGCAGGATTTCAGGGACAGACACAGGGAGACACAGAGCCTGACTCAGGTCTGTGTCCTCCTCTTTCAGAGCCACCAGGCTGCAACCAAACAGATTCTGATTCATCTGCCAGGGCACAAACAGAAAAGAGAGCAAACAATGAATTCCGTTCAGTCACCTCTTTGTTGGCTTTGTTATCACAATCCTGGCTCTCATGAACACTAATATCTGTGTATCCAGACCAACATTCTCTATTTGTACATAGCGCCTCACCTTTCTGAGCGACAAAGGAGTCTTGCTCTGATAATACTGAGCCAGAGAAAACAAATCTTCAACGTCTTCAGATTCCAGGAGCGAAGGGAACGCTTCCAGCATTTCTGTGACAGAAAAGGCCTCGTTCATTCTAACTGTTTTAACAAGACACAGAGCAAATCCAGAAATTTTAAAAAACAGGAAGCCAAACTTACTGATTATTTCTTCTTTGCTGTCTCCTTCTTGTGTAAGAATGGCCTCTCTGAAGGTTTATAAAACAAAAACAAATCAAATACAGATCTTAAAATCCTCAGTATGATCGTGTCTCTGTAGTTTTTAACAGAAGTTGCGTACTTGGCATTGACGAGCATAACTAGCATGATGAAGAAGATGAGGAAGGGGTCAGCCTGCTGGAGGTAGGAGTCCCACAATGCCTGGGTAACATCAGGAATGCAGTGACTGGAAAATAAACTGCCCAGCTATGGAGAAAAAACAGAAAAAAAAGGTCCAGACATGACTACATTTATAAAATCTGTCAGGAAATCACAGGAAACAGCATGTGACATGAATGTGAACAAAAACCTCACTAACCCAGTTAATGGCGTAGGAGTCAGGTGTTATCTTTTTGGTGTCCAAGAAAGAGCAGAGCTCAGGCTCGTGGTACTGCAGCAGTAGTCTGTACAGGTGGAAGGGGCGGCCGTTTGGCACACAGTCCCTAAAACAAACACATTTTCCAGATATTACAGTTTAAGTTTATGGGTCTGTGTGAGTGGAATGAAAAGTGGGGACGATGACTCACCTGGGGATGTATTTGTTCATTACAGCATAGAAGCAGTTGTAGAGGTCGCTGCGGGGAAGCAGAAGCCCTAGTAGTGGTTTGAGCAGATGCGGCCAGCTCAGCTCTGGAGTGAAGGTGATGTTACGGGACTTGCAGTAGAAAGTGATGACTGACTCAACATCGGACACCATGTCGCTGCTCTCCTCCTCCGATAATCCCAGCTGATCTACACATGGAGACCGAGGGAGGTATTAGTTGTGGGTTTTTGTAATTTAATGAACATCTTGTACAAATGTAGGCGTCACATTGTACAGTGAAAAAAACATTAACAAGATTTTACATAATTATTAAAATACACTTGAAAAGAGCACGTCTTTCTTTCCTAGCTTTTCTGAGGCTCTTTCTAATCAGAGTTTTCTATTTTGAGCTATATAGATCTTGCTGTCAACTTGTCAAGAGCAGACTAAAAAGAAGTTATTTGTTCCTCTGAAATCATAAGGATCTTCTTTAGATACCAACAGACTGCATGAATATTATGAGTTTTTATTGTTTCATGCTGCTTTAAGGTGTTTGCATCTGTGTCCTATCTAATGCCTCGACTTGAGATACACACGCATCAGAGGAGCTGTAAACTTTATCCTTAGAGTGTCTTGTTGTCTAGGTTACATGCAGAAATGAAAAGCCTCCTGAAAGAATTCTCTCTATTGCCGTTTGTAAATATTTATTTTGCATTTTCTGATTAGACAGGAGACCTGTTTCAAACAATGCAATCATTATTAAGTTACCGTTTACCACTTATCTTGGTTCACTGTATGTTCTAAAAAAATGTTCAAGCGTTTTATAAGTAAAATACCTATCTACAAACAGACTAATCATGTAGGGGCACAATATGTTATTTACTGTACTGTATGTAGATCAGAAACTGCAAAAAGCGCTCCCGTACATGTTATGGTACCGAAAGGTCTCAGCATAATAAATCACTGATTGCAATTTAGACAGTGTGCGGGCTCTTTTCACAGTTTTTGATCTACTTTTCCCTCTCCTACACATCTAGTTCAGCATTGAGAAGCATTCTTTAAAAAGACAATAATCATTGTATTATCAATACTAATTTGCACTTTGTCATTGTCAAACTTTATAGTTTTCCTACATGATGACTGATACTTTATATTTTGAAGGGGATTCTCATCCTGGATGTGCACAAACTACAAACAGCTAACGACATTTAGTTCCAGTTTGGGAGCTGACTAAGTACTTTCACTACCGCAGTTCCACAAATCATCATTGTGTCAAAGAATTAGAGGCACATGCATTTACTCACCAATCAGCTGTTGACTTCGATTATGAATTGATGTCTGTTCTGGTAAATCGAAGACGCCGTCCCAGGGAGACAGACTGTCTCCTTTTCCAGAGACATTGAGAGCGATCTGATCAACACAAAACAAAGACGTCACAGCTGAAGACAATGAGTGAGAAAGTGACACTTGACAATTAAATCTTCAAACAGTATCTCAACTGCATCTGCACTAATGAAAACCACATCTACTAAGATCTAACTGTAGACTTTGGCAATAAATGCTGATGTTATTTGTAAAATATCCAGTGATTTTAAAATCCAACATCTGCAATCCAAGCAATGATCTAGTTTAAGATACTAACCAGATGATCATGATTGTAATCCGCTAAACAATCAAGTTAGTCAGGTGTAATACTTCACATGTTTAAGTAAAATTTAAATATTGCAGATTCAACAGATTAGTTTTGCCCACAACAAAATAACTAACAATCAGGAATTTTCTTAAATGGGATAGTTAAAACGATGTTGATTAATTGTATCCACACAACATGGCCATAACTTGTGTCAGCCAGCAGATGGTAAGTAAAAAGATGAATGTGTAATGAAATTGGGGTTCATATATCGAGCAAATACAAGTGCCTCTTAAATTAATAGGTAAAAATGCTGCATGATATTTTAAATGATTAAAAAATATACTAAACACTATATACAAGATTTTTTCATTACATACAAAATGTTAATAATGTTACTGAACAAATAAAAATGTCAACAGTTGGAATAAACCATTGTGTTAACTGCTCAAAGAACCTTTCAGCATTTGTGCACATGCTTCATTCATAAAATATGTTGCAGGTATGTGGTTTCAGACTGAGCTGAGGCCTGACACGTGGGTGTGTCATCTGAGCATAAAATCCTGGTCTTTCCAGTCAGTTGACATCTTCCTCGCATGAGGAACTGGCACCCTCACAGCATGTAGACTAATAATAAAAGCATGACTGATTTCTAGTCATAGACATACACACTATCTTGAGCTTTGTACGTTTTAAACTACAGTAACGGTCACATTGGAAGTGCTATTTAAAAAAAAAAATATTTGTCATTTTCAGCTTGAATGATTCTATCCTGTTCTTCACCTTCCACATCTTGGCTCTGTGTTGAGCTGAATGTTCCTGGACCTGGGTGATGCCTCTCTCCATCTCCATGTCAGAGCCACCAGAATCCAGAGCATCGGCTAGATCCTGGTCCCTGAGGCAGCAGAGACAGCAGAGTCACACTGGTTTAACCTTTTCCACAAAGTATGCATGAAATAAAGTTGATTTTAACCAGGTAATAAAATATATGATTTTCCTTTTCTGGTATCAAGTCATTACAGAAAATGCTGGGCAATGTATAAATGTTTCTCTCTTTCACTGTAATAATAACTTTTGAATCACACAAATGTATACTGGGAAGTCTTGCTCACACATCGGGCTGAAATGACAAAAATGTTAATAATCACTTCTCACATAAAACTACAAAATAAAACCAGGTCGACAGTTCTTTAAATGAGGGGGTTTGTTTAAACCGTGTCTTTGCTCTCTTATAACTTGGAATCACAATTACACTTGATGCAAACAAAATGTGATGAATACATAAATAACAGGTAGTTACAGATTTGATGTAATAGTTACAATAATTCCTGAAAAACACAAATAACTCGGGCTTATCATTACATTACACGGGGAAATGTGCAAACACCAACAGGACTATTTAACAGGTGGTCTAGTAGAAACATGTGGGAATGTTTATTATTAATATACTGCATATGTGCTTAGTAATCCCCGACATGTCTTGACAGCTCCTCACATGTTTGACGGATCTTGATCCTTAATCACACGATGTAACATGTAGATATCTGAAAGCAGCACGTGAGGACAGAGCACCGGAGTCAGCTGAGGTGTGGGGCCGTGGTTCGGTTCCGTTTAAAGCCGAGCAGAAGTCGACTAACACCGGCTATCAAGCTACTTGATGTTAGCTGACCGATCGACACGCTTCACGTGTGGACTTATGAACAGAGAGAGAAAGTGATGAAACGATCCGTACTCTCACTGATGTGTTCAGAAGCTGCTAATCTTTGCTCGTCTTAGTGCCTCTGCTGTTTAACACAACCAACTTAGCTAATTATCGCTAGCTGGCTAGCTGCCGAACAGTAACGGTACCAAACATTGGAGCATCCATCGTCAGCGGAGCAGACTCACAACTCACACACACGTGCAGCTGCTGAACGTGACATAGAGTCAGATGAACACAACTCTGGTGTTTGACAACTCATGTAACGTCTCTGTTCAAAAGGTCTCACCAGCTGCCGTGAAGAGCTTCCTCCGCGGCGTCCGCCATTGTTGTGTTGACGGAGACACGTCAAGTGCCGTTAAAAGGGCAGGAGTGTCGCAAAGCGCTGTCACTGAAGAGCGTTTTTTAATCTTCTTCTTCTTCTTCTCCTTTTTGTTCATCATCTTCTTTTTCATCACCATCATCATCATCTTCTTTTATTCTACACAACATAAATATTGTCAAAGATGGATATTACGATAAGCGCGCACACACACACACACACACACTCACACACACACACACACACACACTACACTTACATCCCTGCAGAAACATTCATGAGCATAAAAATCAATTTTGCTGGAATAAAAAACACCATTCAAACACATTATAAAACAACGTTTCATTGACATTAATCACATTAAGAATGATCTGCAGTTAGAGAGGATCAGAATATTCTCTTCTTTGCTCCCAATCACATCAGTTATGATAAAGTGTGAGGCGGACTGTGAGAAGAATTAGGTATGCAAACACTGCTCCCTGTCGGCCAAAGAGGCGCACTGCAACAAGACCTGTAGCATCCCATTCACACATTTCAATAAATTGCTCCCTTATGAATTATCATATGGATAATCATAAATCACAGATGTATAACCACTAGCAACTAAAACAACTGACAGTCACAGATTGTCTTGTCTTCAGATTCATTTGGTAGCAACAAACAGATTATTCTGAATTATACTTGACATATTTCCACATGTATAGTCTTATTGAAATAAACCATAAACTCCCACTTTTAAGTTTAACAACAGTTCTTCTCACCATTTTTTTCAGTTTATAATTGTGGATATGGCAACTTGTTTTTTTAGGGATATTATTTTTTAGATAGATGCCACAAAAATGCTGCTGAGGAGAAAAAGCTTCTGCAGAGAGAAGTGGAGGAGCTGACTTCTCAACTCTCACTGAAGAAGGAGAGAGAGGATGTCAAGCATCAGGAGTGGCAGGAGGAAAAGGAGGAGGAGAAGCAAGAGGAGAAAGAGGGGGAGGAACAGCAGGAGAAGCGGGAGGAGTCCCTCTCTGATGCTCTCCCTGCTCCAGAACCTGTGGAGACTGAGGAGTCTGAGGAGACCCCCAAAAATCAAACAAATAAAAACAATCAGACAGTGTCTGGGACTGAGGAGGAGGAAGAAGCAAAAAGACACTGCACCTAACAACTGATTCAGGGAGGGAGGGAGTTTTCCTCTCCACAGTCGCCAAAGTGCTGCTCACTGTGGGAACTGTTGGGTTTCTCTATATTAATACGATTTTAAGGTCTTGACCTTCTATGTAAAGTGCCTGGAGATAATGTATGTTATGATTTGGTGCTATACAAATAAAATTGAATTGAATTGAAATTCACACCTGATAGTTGTTCACCTGTGCTCGTCTGCATGAAATCATGTCTGAGAGGAGGAATTGAAAATGTTATATAATGTATATGTCTATGTAATATGATGTTAACAAATATTAAAAATTGTATTATCTCATTCATATATATTACTTCATTTAGTAACAGTTCATTTGTTTTTCAGTCAAGTTTTCAACCTAAACTTATCTTAACATAAACCTGAACCTCAACCCAACCTCACACACCTAGGTCCTCACAAAAGCAGCAATACCTGGACTACACACACACACACACACACACACACTTACACTCACTCATTCACACACTCAAACCATGACTCAAACACACACACACACACACACACACACACACACACACACACACACACATCTGAAACTGAAGCAGCTGCATGGATCTCAAACATCACTGATTTACTTACAACCTTTTAAAATAAACTCATATAACTTCTAAAAAAAGGTTCATTGCAGATGGGCGTACCTGTAAGAGTCATCTTCTTGGATAAAATTAACATAACACATTAATATCAACTGAGGGTTTGTATTACATCGGATCAAACAGAGAAGTTAAATTTGATATAAAGATAGAAATTGTAATTCTGTTTGAGTTAAAAGCCAGCTCCATGAAGGGCTTCATATTTAATAAAAATAAGCAAAATATTCAAGTTATCAATATGCCTAGAATTTAGTAGCATGACTGTTTATCACTGGCAAAAAGCAAAATATTAGATAGTATAATATAATATTGAGAACATAAACATTAAGATTAAAACAAAGAGTTGTCTCACTGACTCACAGAGGACAAGAGTTCTCAGTGTGTTGAAATCAAGCAGTAATTACAATACTAAACAGTAAACCAGAAGAAACAGAGGTGTAATTCATTCCAGGAATTATAACTTTATTAGGATTCATATTTTATTTCACTTTGGTCACCATACACATCACTGATTCTCTATCAAACGGCCTGAATTTACTGGGTACCTGCAGATTAACTGTTCAGGTTACAACCATTTCTCCATTTCTTTTCTGTTGACTTAAGTTGAGAATTCCTCACCAGCTGCACCTAGACTGCATGATTTGATTCTTTGGCATTACCACATTCAATGACATGTAGCCATTACTGCTGCTTGATGAATGAATGTCACAAACAACGGGAGTGATTCAATTTTCTTGAAATTGAAAAAGCTCCTAACACACATTCAGCTGTTTTTCGCAGAGCACAGTTGCTACATGAGAACCAAATCATACACTGAACCAACAGATCCTCCAGGCTGCAGGCAGGCTGGAAAAAATAAGACGCGAGTTGTGAAAAAATCATTTGAAAAGGAGAGGACAAAAAATCTAATCACGATCATAGGGTTTATCCTGTCAAAAGAAGAAACTAAATGGATCATGAAAATAAACCTTTTACAATAAAATAGAAAAAAAGTCCTTTTCTCAATTAAGGTGAGCTAGGGAAAAAATCATTGACTCACCGATCCCTTGTGAAATCTGACACTAGAGGAAGTTAAAAAATAACTTTCCCAAAAAAGTAGTTTGTTAGGTTTTTCTAATCAAAAGTGTCTTGCCCAAAGCATCTTGTAGTTGGGGTTTTCATAGTGTTCAAGACAGCACGAGCATTGCATTTACATTTATTAATAAAGTGAACATGCTGCACAAAGTATATAAAAATGAAAACAGGCAATCCCATTATTAAAAAAACAAAACAAACAGAAAAATATACTTGCTAAACTAACTTCTCTGTTGCCCCACATCTATGGGATCAATTCCAGCATTACAAACACAGACATTACATGTTCGACTATAATTTTAATCTTGCATTCAGAACTGATGATGTAAGTTACAATATGGAAGTAGCTGGACAAAAACACTTCAGATCAGCATAAATTAACAAGTGAACAGTCCATTAGAACTATATAAAGCTCACAGTATTCTCTGTAGATCTGTGTCACAGAAGCCTTGACGTCATTAATCGGTTCAACAGACTGCACACATTTCAATTCTCCTACATTTTACACAGTTACTACTAATTTAGACAGGCATACATGGCCATTCATGTATGATTTTCTCTCTAGAGGACACAGTTATTCTCTCTTATTATTTGACTGAGCAGTAAAAAGGTTTTGTGTTGGTGTTCTGGTTGAATTAAGCGCCAGCAAAGGGCTGTGTAGGTTTAGACCACCCCCCTCAGCTACCCCAACCCACCGAGTATACCAGAGGCCTGGATCACAGCCTTGCCGTGATAGTGAATAGAAATCCTTTTCTTCCATCCTAACAAACCCTTTTGATGTGATGTAAACGCTGTTTATATGCAGGGCTCTTCCTTGTTTGTCATATACTTGTACCCTTTTTTTTTTTTTACAGATCAAAGTTACTCAGAAAGTTGCATTTTAACACATTTAGGGTTAAGCAATGAAGACTCAGATTGGCGATCAATTGGAAGAGAAGTTACAGTGTTGGAGGTTTCAGCCCATACTTCCTGGCCACTTCAGTCTGGGCGTACGCTGCATCACATAACGAGTACAAATGAGCCATCTCCATCTCTGACTTGGCTAGATTAATGGCCTTGTTGAACATTTCTATCGCCTTGTCCAGATTCCCCCTGAAAAGAAAATCCTCTGGTTACTTCAGGCTTTTCAATATGACATGTAATGACTGGTTTGAATTAAATTGTTACATCTCACCTTTGCACTTCAATGGTTCCCATGGTTTCATAGGCAAAGTCACACTTGTTGTCAATTTCAATGGCCTTACTGATGAGCTCCAGACCCAAGTCAAGGTCTTGTTTCCACTGAAGCTGTAACAACCTGGACAAGTACATTTAACTATTACCAACATGTCCCATCTACACAAGTCAGTTGAATAATGAATAAATGCCTACCCCTTGTGGACATATGTGGTAGCGTTGTCCGGCTCCAGTTCGATGCACTTGTCATACATCTCGTCTGCTTTTCCAAATTGTTGCTGATCAGTCAGTGCCTGAAAAGAACACAAATCAATATTAAGAGTTGTATGTTCACACTGGAAGCATCAACAAGGTCTAAAACCTATTTTCTTGTCTGAATAAAAGTCATTAAATTTGAAAAAAATAAAGATAAAATAAAAAAAAAAGTAATCCTTGTTTGACTTCATACCTGAGCATAGAGAGCGTAGCCTTCTGCACACTTAAGGAACCTCCTGATAACATCCTCAAAGCCGTCCATGGCTGTCTGTACTTGTGAGGGGTTGTTTCCAGTATAAGCTTGTCTGTACTGTGCAACACAAGAACAAAAGAAACTCATCAGCTAAAATGAAATTATGCATCCTCCCTATGTCAAAGGGACCAAATTAGGATAAAGGGTACAAACACTTCATGTCAGACAAATTAGCTTTTTTTAAGGAACTCACAAGAGCAAAGCATTTCTGTGCCTGGGCCAGAGCAGAGTCAGGCCTGAGCAGGATGCACTCGTCAAAGTCTCCCACTGCTTCGTCCACCTGGTCCAACAGGATCTTCAGCTGAGAGGAAATACATGGCATACTTGTTATGAAGCATAACATGTCCACCATCTCATGACCACTGTTATTTTTTGCTTTATAGTAGAGGTAGTGCAGACATTAAGGTAATGGCTGCTAAACAGATGTTTTAAAGAACCAACTCGCCCTCCTACCTGACCCCTGTGATGATACACATCAGGGTTGCGTGTGTCAATCTCAGCCGCCATGTTAAAGTCCTGTGTAGAGAGCAGAGGCTGCTGCTGCTGCATGTACATGCTTCCACGCTTGATCAGAGCGTTGGCTCGTAGCTGTGAAGAAAAAAAACAGTCAAGTGGGAGCTTTCCAAGTTCTCAGTAAATGATTTCTATCTTTATAAAACAAATGATTAGATCAACTGTGAGGACCTAGAAATAACTTACTCACATAAGTACAGTTAGCACTAAGAGTTACGTTTCTCACAGTGTATTCTTTCTTTGGTTTCAGTTTGTTTTCAATTATGGTATTTATTAAACCATAAGACTGTGTGTCTTACATGGTGCATTTTCTTAAAATGTCCAAATCCCAATAATCTTCTGCTGATTCAAAAGAACTTCAACATAGGCTACAAGGAGTTAGCAGGCTATAAATTAGGATTGCAGTGCCTTTTAATGATTCTAAACAAATATCATGGTAGCTGAATGGCTTTGATATGTCAACGAAGAGCAGGTTTATTAAATCAGCAGTCCTCACCTTCACGTTGGCGTCCTGCATGTTGATTACCCGATCCAAATCAGGTTGAGCAGCAGTAGCATTACCAATGAGCAGAAAGAAAGTGGCACGCAGCAGCAGGGCCTCGGCAGTGTATCGACCACCTGACTCAATCTCCTTGGTGCATTCGCTGATGATTTTGTCGTAGTTCTCCTCCTCCATGTACTGCTTCGCCTTCAGATAGGCAGAGCTAAAGGGTGGAGGAAAAAACAGATAAGGAATTGTTCCATCTAAAAATTTTTTATGAAATTGCCTGTGTATAATTATGATGAATTAAAATGATTTAGGTCATCCCTGACCTTTACTCTAATGACACATTCGTGCTAAAATACACAGATTAACATCCGACTGTAAAGTAGAAAAGAGTGAAATATTCTGCACACATCCTTAAGATTTTGATAAGTGAACAACTGTTATCTGACCTCTCTGTGACCTCAGCTGCCTCGCCCTCTTTGTCCTTGTCCTCATCTTTCTTCTCTCCCTTCTGCAGAGGCTGCGAGATGATGTCATCAGTGAACGAACTAAAGTAGGACTTGATGAACTGAGGAGAAGGCATCATCGGCTCACGGTTCTACAGAGGAGAGATTTTAAAACCATTAACTTTTTGTGACAAATCAGGGGAATAAAATAAAGAGAAATGTTTCTGAAAGTGGATAAATACCTTGTACTTGTCCTTGGCCTTCTCTTTCCCCAGCTGCTTCAGCACTTTGTCTGCTAGCAGCATGCTCTGCTGGTTCTGGAAGGCCTCAAGAATACACACGGCTGTGACATCTGGGGGGAACAAAACCGACTGGCAATAAGCATCACACATTTTGTTGGGTGAAATTTGATAATTCACATTCTTAGAAGAAAGATGAATGTCTCACCCTCTAAGCACTCCTTCTTGTTGTCTAATTTTTCCAGAGCCTTGGCCCTCCTGAACAGAGCCTTGATGTAGCGTGGATTTAGCTCCACAGCCTGGGAGCAGTCCTGTACCACTTCTGTCCACTTCATCTGAAACAACAGTTATACACTAATTAGCTTCTACACAATATCTGTATCTGATTCTACAGTGGTCCAGAGCTCCGTCCACTACCCAGAGAAGGTGTATGAGTGCAGCGGAAACTCAGACCTGTCATTTGCTTATTTTACTACATTCATATGGAAATTAAATTGCTTGAAAATGCACAGCTCTGTTCCTCGTGACTAAAGCTGGTGCTTTGCAGTACTTGAGGGGACACAGTTTTCTCTTTCACCTTCTATGTAGCTGTCACTCAGGTTCAGTTAAACATTAGAGTAAACTGCGTGCACTCATAACATAAACATTTACAAAAAAGGGAAGTTCAAGGCTTGCTAGAAACATTTCCACACACTGATTTTAATCCAAAGCAAGTGCAAAGAAATCTAATGTGATATTTGTATCTGAAAACCACTATATAAAACTAGAACAGTTTCTAGAACCACGATAAACTACAATAGATATTGAGTACACACATTATTCTATGTTTTGATATACATTTTAACCTTCAGTCAAACATGAAGGTGGGAAGATTTGAAAATGTTGGCGATTTGCAACACTTTAAACAAGTGATAGAGCAAGCTGTTCAGGCAGAGGACACACCTCATCAACAAGGGAATGACATAAAATCAGAGAAATGTATTTTTCCATCACTCTTAATAAGGAAATCTCTAATTGTGTTGGTCTTTCACTTGAACAACAATGTCAGCACAGAATAAATCAAGGTGGTGCCAACCTGCTGCTCGAAGGCTGCTGCTCTGTTCTGGTAAAATGTGGACAAATCAGCCTTCTGCTCTGTGGGACAGAGGGCAATGGCCTCTGTGTAGCACTGGATGGCGTTCTCGTACTTTCCAGCCTTGAAGTACTTGTTGCCCTTGTTCTTTGCTGCTTGGGCCCGATCCAAAAGGCTCTGAACAAGAGAGAGAGAGAGAGATCAAGGATTAAAGACTTAAAATGACAGTTTTCTACATAACAAAATTATCCATCTGCATCTTATACTACAATAGGCTTTTTAAGTGAACTGTGCGTAGGATTGAATTTCATTTAAGTGACAAGCCCAAAGTGCAAATAAACCATATGCAAACTAATACAGATATTCATGCATGGATCCAAGTGCAAGTTTTATACGCAATTCTGTTGTGCAATAATAAAGGACATTCCACAGACATTATTAAACATGTCAGGATGAACTTGGATTATTTAATAATATGCATGTTTAAACAGGGAAATAGTTGAAACCACACAGGTAAGCTGCTACAGCAACCATCCAATATTAATACAATTACAGTTAACAGGCGACCAGCGCTCTGTAGCAGAGTCTTTGGACAGAGATGAACCTGTCTTCTTCTACTTCATTAGATAAACTGTAGCACATGCTGGCAACAGGCGGCCCATGGGCCAAAACTCTCCCATCAGCAATGATATCCATCCCCTCAGATCATTTTGATGATTATCTATATTTCACCATATGTCAAAGTGACAGACATTTACGGGTGTCATGGGTGCTGATCTCCACCAACGATATTCATACAATTACTCTTAAAGAGCACTGCTTTCGATTTATTGCTGCCACACTTTATACAGAGAGGATGACAGAGTTTATATTTGAAAGAGTTGTGAAGCTGAGTCTGAAGATTGTGTCAGGTGCTTAACAGACCTCTGAAACAATCTACAAGTAATGTATGAATAAATAACAGCAGGTAAGTTAACTATTCAAACTTATACACTAAACCACTCGTGTAACAGTGACTTTAAAATCTGTACAAAAAGAAAGTAGCTGCACCCAGCATCATCACAAGCCAAGCAAACTAATGGAACTTAATACAACACCAGGTTCCTAAGACCTCACAGGACAGTCCTCATGTCTTCAAGAACTTTACAACTCTTGTTGGAAATACACGTGAGCTCTGCCACTAAATCAAGGCGGGTAAGTGTTTCATTATAATTCTGGAATTTATGGAATGTGAGTTGCAGACCTAATCATCCAATGAGTAATCTTCTCTGTGCAGATTCAACATTGTTCGTTACTGGTGCATGGCAGCGCACAGTGAAAGTAATGGCAGCCACTCATGGTTGCACAGTCCAGTAACCCTGCCTCTGTTTGAAATGACAGCCTTCAGCCGCACTTGACTTTCCGACAAGACAACGCTAGCATGCTCTGAAACATGTGCTAATAACAACGCTAGTTTAACACGCGTCATTTTGTTGCCATGTGTTAACCGCATGATTAACCGGCTGAAGCTAACACTGCATGTGAAAGTTTCGGTCTCTACAGGTGTATACTGCTAATACAGCTATGACAGTCTAGCAGTTCACCATGCTAACCTAGCCCCGTGAAAACATTAGCGTATTAGGCAGCTAGCTAGCAGCTAACAGGCTAATCCTCCACGAATGAGCCGGTGGCTATCGCGGTAGCAGTCGGCCTTACTGTGGAACTAGCTGTCAGTGCTGGTGTCGGTAACGCTAGGTGTCCTTGACTGTGGTTTTACGGTAGTGACAGGTGTCCACGTTAAACCGTGCGCATTACACAGTCACGCTAATGCAGTGACCGCTGTGGTAGCAGCGGAGGCTCGAGCAGTCTTCAGGCACCGGGAACGTTACCATGACTTCAGGCTCCCGGTTCGCTGCGCCGTCTTGGCCCTGCACGGGACTGGCGCTGCCCTCTGGCGTCTTCCGCTCCCCGGTGCCTTTCCTCTCCTTCGTCCTGCTGCGGTTCCACAGGTAAACCGCCCCCACTCCCAGCACGATGGGAGTCCCGATCAGCAGGGCCAGCTGCCAGCGGGGTAGTCCTGTCCCGGACTGCGGCTCCACCGGCTTAGAAGCAGCCATGATCTACAACCGAGCACAGGTTAGCCACTAGCCCGTCAGCAACAGCAGGAAACAGCGTGAGCTGCGCACACTTCTTCTTCTTCTTCTTCCACTGCTCCGAGAGGACACAGCGAGGAATCATGGGATATTGGCGGACAAACCACGGGGCTGTGTGTAGTTGTAGTCCCACCGTGAGATTGTGTAGTCCAAACATCCCCTCAGAGAAACACAGAGCTCAGAGAAATAATGTTCATTTAGTGCAATGATGCCCTGTAGTTTAAGAATATTCACATAAAAGTATTTATATTTATTAATCATTCTATACAAGACTGGTTTAAAAGGTATAGATAATAATAAACCAGTAGCACTTTCTAAAAATATTACCAGCCAAATGATTTACAATTGGATTTGCATTCAATTGATTAAACATCAATGAATTATATCTATTAGAAATATAGTTCTCCTGTTTGACATGTCAGACGACTATTAGGCCACTATATGAAACTAGGGCACTTTTCAACAGAAAGTACAAAGTGCTGCACAGCAGAAAACAAATGCTTGGAATCCAGAGAGAAGAACATAAACCCTGAGTGAATTCATCCTTTTGAGTATTTTGTGATGCCAATGGTGGAATTCAAGTTTTAATTATTTTGAACAGTTGAAGAGACTTTGAATGTTAAAAACTGCAGCCACCAGGGGTCAGTGCTGCTGTTTCTTTGAGTGAACCTGTCCTCTTTCCACTCTTGTATTGCACATAAATATAGAGTTGATTATAAATGTTATATCTACCTCTGGACGTGTGCTTTTATTGTGGAAAATACCAACTGCTTCCACCGAAATGAAGCTCTGTGATGCATCTAATTTACTTCAATATTCAAAGATATTTACAGTTCAGATTGTGTGTTGATTTTCAGCCCATACACCCTCACTCTTCATTTTATCCTGATCGATGTGGATTTACCGTACGAGTTTGAGTGTGTGCGTGTGACTCACAGTGTTTGTATCTCCACTCTGTCCCATTTCAGAGCCTAGTGCTGGTCTGTCTGGAGCCTGACTGCTTATTTTGCACCCGAGGCCATCTGTCCTCACACAGTGACCAGCACTGAATAGTTTTCAAAGTCAACTGTGCTTTGGTGATCAGAGGAAAGTCTCTGTGATGAAGAGCCCTGTCCTTGCAGAGATGCAGACCTTTGATAGGACGACTATTCCCTCATAAACCCTTGAAAAATTCAAGGGCATGTTGAAAGTTATGCAGCAATTCACTTGTAACCTATTCACACATCCAGGTACCTTTTCTTTCAGTCTGCTCTTGGAGTTGTAACAAGTTAAATAATACAGTTTCCACACGTATATTTCTTAATAAATTAAATGTGAAATATGTGACAAATGTGCATGTTTGGATTTGGCCACATTCAGCACTTGAATGAACATGTTGCAGTTGCTTGTTGTGAAAAGCCATAAAATCAATTCCTCAAAACTGCAACACATGATGAGACATAACCTTGTTCTGTGATGTGTTAACTAACCTGGTGTAACCCAGCAGATGTTGATGCTTCACAAAGGTAAAAAAGTGCTACTGATGGAGGTTATAATGATGATGTTGGATTTTTTTGACTATTCCTAACCCCGTCTCTGTTATTCCTGTCATACGTGCCTGCTATTGTTAGCACAGCCTGGCTTAGTTTTAGGCCCTGCCACTTAATGATTGGTTACCATGGCCACGGAGAAGTGTGTATGCTCCTGTAATGCTGCAGAATGTTTAGACGTACAGATCACCTGTCAGAAATACACACCATGTTTCCAGTTAGATGATTTAATCTGGTTAACAGGTATATTTTAATCTATACAGTTTGAGATTTTTGTTTTCTGGTTGACAGGTCTGGGTTCTGGAAAATATTTCTTTTAATGTAATTGAGTCAATTGGGATTCATTGCTAGAGCTGGATCACACTTCTTCATTCACAAGTTTCCTCTGCAAGATTTGAAACATTGCATGTTATAATATAGAAGCCCTGTAAATAAATAAAATGTGTTTGAAAAAATTGTTCATTTGGCTAATCCATCTGGACATGTAATCTGATTACTGAGTATTCTCCTGTAATTAAAATATATTGGATTATTTGTTTAGATTTGTATGATCTAAACCTGTCTGAGGTGTGCCCTGTCTCTCTCCCATTGTCAGCAGGGATTGACTCCAGCCTCTTACAACCCTCAAAGGATAAGTGCACTGATAATGGAATTTGCAAAATCTAGCATCATGTATGTATGTAAAAGCTTAATTACTGCTTTTCTTTAAATATTTTTATTAGTATTCCTGGTTATTTGTGAGCAGGCGTGACATAAATTGGCTCCAATCTGTGGAAAAAGGACAGATTAGTGTAATCTTGTTCTCAGTTGAGGTTTGCGACAACAGTACAGTGCATGAGTATTTCATAACAGTGTGTGTCTGGATTAGAGAGACTCAGGTGTTTGAGTTAATTAGCAGAATTTGAATCCTTTCAGTTTGTGAAGGTCTGAAGGAAACATGTGTTCATGTTCAAGTGTAAAATTTCAACTCCCTGAAGCTGCCATTGCTTTGTCTACAGTTTCTTAAATACACATTAATGAGTCTGCTGCACTGCAAAATGTTTTACCTTACGTGTTTTACACTGGTTATCTAATATTTACTTTATTCATTCAAACAACATTCTGATTTCATAATCGATAGAAAGTATGCGTTTAAAGTTACATAACTAAACGGAATAAATAGTAGGATCAGACGGGTCAGACAAGCGGGATAACAGGATTGTGTGACTTTAAATAGCATCTTCATTACAGTGTGTTATTCTTGTGTCTTTAGCAGAGCACTCTCCTTAGCTGTAATGAACGCAACAAATACCTGGAATCTCCACTATGATT